GCCCCCCCCCCCCCCCCCCCCCCCTTTTTTTTTTTTTTAAGGGGGGGCATATAGAGACAGGTTCACTGCCATGACAACCATTTTGGCCTGCTTCTTCAGTGAAAATGTAGACGTGTGGGCCTCCCGAGTGGCGCAGCGGTCTAAGGCACTGCATCGCAGTGCTAGAGGCGTTACTTCAGACCCGGGTTCATTCCCGGGCTGTGCCACAACCGGCCGTGGAGTCCCATAGGACGGCGCACAATTGACGGTGTTTCCTCCGACACATTGGTGCGGCTGGCTTCCGGGTGCGGCTGGCGGGTGTTAAGGAGCGCGGTTAGGCGGGTCATGTTTCGGAGGACTCGTGACTCTACCTTCGCCTCTCCCGAGCCTGTTGGGGAGATGCAGCGATGACACAAGATCTAAATTGGGGGGAAAAAAAGGGGGGTAAAATACTAAAAAATACCAAAAAAACTACAACATATTTTTTGTTTAGACGTGTGTAGTAGTGTGTGTACGCTCCAATGAACCCACACACACATTAACACACTCTTACAAGAAGTACCTAATCCAGCGACATCTGCGTGGGGACAGAGTAGTATTGATGTGGCCTAATGAGTGGACATGATGTTACTGTAAACTAATACATATTGGGCCTTGTATTACAGGCTGAGAAGTGGTCCAGCATATGTCTCATTGATCCTATAGTGGTGGAAGGTCTTTGGGGGGGAGAGGGGAGCAGGGGGTTGGGTCAGTAGAGTGGACAGGGGCCATTTCATATGCAGAGAGGAAAAGGGACCTCTGCTTTCTCAGTTCCTCTGGTCTGAGCACGCACACACACCAACATATGTATGGACACACACACACACACAATCCCCCCACACTCCCAGACACACCCACCCACTACCCCCCACACTCCCAGACACACCCACCCACCCACTACCCCCCCCACACAAACCCCTCCCCTCCTCTCATCCCTCCTGCAGCTATCAATCAACTTTCCATTTTGTTTGGTGGCAGTAGACATCCCAAACACTCCCATTAGTGGGCTGACCCCTGACCCAGGCCTCTAGAACCCCCCCCCCCCCCCCCCCATACTGCAGCACAGCTACAATCAGTTAGTTAAAACTGATCATGTCTATTGCGGCCTTTACCAGCCTTGATGTCATTACCAAAGGGTCTGTTTTAGTGCTGCTTAGAAGAAGGAGCGTGTGAAATGACCCGTAGTTCTGCAGTGTGTATACTAAGGCTAGTGTGGCTGTGCTTGAGGGTGGGATGGTAGGTTACGCCCCCAGATCATGGAGAGTCAGGTCGGAAATCTACAGGAACATTTTTATTGAGATAAAGCGGTTGACATTAAAGACGAGTTTGATATAATTATCATATAATGTGTGTGTGTGTGTGTGTGTATAAGCACTTTGTAACATCTGCTGATGTAAAAAGGGCTTTATAAATACATTTGATTTGATTTGTGTGTATCCATGTGGTCCATGGTGCTCTCTACATGGGTCCTTACTGGTGCCCTCGATGAGGAGCTCCTGTCCGTGACTACCCAGCAGGGTGCGAGAGAGGAAGGGCGCGAAGTCCACAAAGATCTCTCTCAGTAGGGGGGCAGCCTTCTCCAGAGCATGCTCCAGCCTCTCGGAGATACTGAGGGGAAGATTAGACACTCAGATTTACACCCATGCACTTTATACATGTCCATTCATGTGTCAGTGCCAGGCAAATATGTACTATTCAATATTAAAATGCATAGAGGCGACTTTAGAACTGAAATTGAGCCACAAAGCAGCAGCTAAAACTACTGCAGAATCTGCAATATTGTCTTACATCAAAACAAAGAGAAAAATTGAAAATAGAAGAGTCAGAAAAAAAGAAAGATTGGAGAAAAAGAAAAGGTTAGAGGGCAGAGGTACATTGCTGATTATGCAGGCCAGTGCCTACTGCATGTCCTTTATACGTGTGTGCGTGTGCGTGTGTGAGAGAGAGAGCTCTCGTGTCCAGGCGGTGTGTGTAGTGACGTATCACCTCATACTGGGGGCTGTGTCCTGGGTCATTGGGGACAGCGTGGGGACAGATGGCAGGTTGGCGCTGGCTGATCCTGGTGGAAACCAGAGAGCCTCATTATTAGTCTGGGAGCAGGACAGAACAGTAGACACACACACAAACAGAAGAGCACGCACACACACACACACACAGATACACACACACACCTCCCTCATCCACCTCAATGCATTACCACAGAAAGAAAGGAGTGGAGCATAAATGTGGTTTCTGGTGATAATCCAGTGGTTCATTATTAGTATCAGTATCATTATTAGTCTGGTAGCAGGATCGGACAATACATCGGCCCTCCTCCACACCAATACATTACTGCACTGAAGGAACCGAGTGGCTCAATAAATCTGGTGAGGGTTTCAGAGGGTTTCCATTCTAATGTTATAGAACGGGTGGATTTATGTTTAAAGCGGACCGTGTGTGTGGGATAAGTGTAGTGTAATTGTCTGGTGTTAGATAGTGGATGATGTAGAGTTGGCTCCATACGTCTTCCTTCCACTTGGAAATTCATAGGCATAGATCATTTTGTGCATGTATGGCCTAATTAATGCTACATTCATCAGGGAATCTTCATGCAGATTTTTTTTTACAAACCAGCATGGATATTAGCAGGGTTTTTCTATTACATTTTTACATTTTAGTCATTTAGCAGACGCTCTTATCCAGAGCGACTTACAGTTAGTGAGTGCATACATTTTCATACTGGCTCCCTGTGGGAATCGAACCCACAACCCTGGCGTTGCAAACGCCATGCTCTACCAACTGAGCTACACGGGACGGCCATACATTTTACACACCACTATGCATACAGGATTCGCTTGCCTTTTGAGCTGATATTGAACTGAACAATTTTAAAATATTCTGGTAAATAATGAAAATTATTTCATTTAAAGTAAGCAAAACATTAGTTATTTTTTTATTAACAGGTTTGCTTTCATCGCTTTCGGCGCATATTCATGAAATGACTTGGTGGCGCTTTACGACACCGTCCTCTCGGCAGAGACACACAAGTCTATAACGTCTACAAAGCACAACGTTTGATTGATCTGGTCATAAATTCAATTTCACTGTCGCCCATAAATTCCATAATGCCCGGCTGAATACGTGGAGGCGATTCCTCTGGTGTTTGGTGGGCTTGTTTCTCCAGCCGTAAGGGAAGGTCTCAGAGCAGGGATAACTCTTAGGGAATGACAGGCTGTGGTGTGGACTGGAATGTGTGTGTGTGGACACGGGGGCCTGTCTTTAAGCACCACTGTGTTGTGTGGCCTGCTGAGAGGCTCCCGGTGGACATGAAGTAGCTCCTTCAAACAGTGGAGGAGTAAATTAACTTATCTCCATCAATCCTCCCACTGGCCCCCCTTAAACACACACACACACACACACTCTCTCTTTCTCTCTCTTCACCCCCTTTCACACACACTCCTCTCAAACCGCACACGCAAACATTACCCAACTAACACTATAGCAATATACATACACAATCTCCTAAAACACAGACACACATATAAAACATGCTCTATCCACACACAAGACGACAGGCCATGAAAGGAAATGTCAATAGGTCTTCTGCCCAGTGTTTACCCACTATCACCATGGACTAAAGGAGACATACTCCTCTCAGTAGACAAGACTGCTACTTGAGTTGAAAGGAATTTGAGCACTTTTATTAAGCTGAGTGCATAGAAAAGAACCTGGACTTGATATAGCTTGTAGATAATCTATAATTCTATAACTTGCCATGCATAATTTATCATTCATATACGCTGTATAATTCCTAGAACACACAGAATATCAGTCCTTCTTTACCTATTGTCAACATGACATCATTACATTTAAGCCAAACCAACAGAGATACCCCATTAAGACAGAGTAAAAGTCAATATTTGGGCTGCAGTCAGAGTCCTGTACTAAACTCAGCAAAAAAAGAAACGTCCCTTTTTCAGGACCCTGTCTTTCAAAGATAATTCGTAAAAATCCAAATAACTTCACAGATCTTCATTGTAAAGGGTTTAAACACTGTTTCCCATGCTTGTTCAATGAACCATAAACATTTAATGAACATGCACGTGTGGAACAGTCGTTAAGACACTAAAAGCTTACAGACGGTAGGCAATTAAGGTCACAGTTATGAAAACTTAGGACACTAAAGAGGCCTTTCTACTGACTCTGAAAAGAAAGATGCCCAGGGACCCTGCTCATCTGCGTGAACGTGTCTTAGGCATGCTGCAAGGAGGCATGAGGACTGCAGATGTGGCCAGGGCAATAAACTTGCAATGTCCGTACTGTGAGACGCCTAAGACAGCGCTACAGGGAGACAGGACGGACAGCTGATCGTCCTCGCAGTGGCAGACCACGTGTAACAACACCTGCACAGGATTGGGACATCCGAATATTACACCTGCGGGACAGGTACAGGATGGCAACAACAACTGCCTGAGTTACACCAGGAACGCACAATCCCTCCATCAGTGCTCACACTGTCCGCAATAGGCTGAGAGAGGTTTGACTGAGGGCTTGTGGGCCTGTTGTAAGGCAGGTCTTCACCAGACATCACCGGCAACAACGTCGCCTATGGGCAAAAACCCACCGTCGCTGGACCAGACAGGACTGGCAAAAAGTGCTCTTCACTGACGAGTCGTGGTTTTGTCTCAACAGGAGTGATGATCGGATTCTCGTTTATCGTCAAAGGAATGAGAGTTACACCGAGGCCTGTACAACGGAGCGGGATCGATTTGGAGGTGGAGGGTCCGTCATGGTCTGGGGCGGTGTGTCACAGCATCATCGGTCAGAGCTTGTTGTCATTGCAGGCAATCTCAACGCTGTGCGTTACAGGGAAGACATCCTCCTCCCTCATGTGGTACCCTTCCTGCAGGCTCATCCTGACATGACCCTCCAGCATGACAATGCCACCAGCCATACTGCTCGTTCTGTGCGTGATTTCCTGCAAGACAGGAATGTCAGTGTTCTGCCATGGCCAGCGAAGAGCCCGGATCTCATTCCCATTGAGCACGTCTGGGACCTGTTGGATCAAAGGGTGAAGTCTAGGGCCATTCCCCCCAGAAATGTCCGGGAACTTGAAGGTGCCTTGGTGGAAGAGTGGGGTAACATCTCACAGCAAGAACTGGCAAATCTGGTCCAGTCCATGAGGACGAGATGCACTGCAGTACTTAATGGTGGCCACACCAGATACTGACTATTACTTTTGATTTTGTCCCCCCCCCCCCCCTTTGTTCAGGGACACATTATTCCATTTCTGTTAGTCAAATGTCTGTGGAACTTGTTCAGTTTATGTCTCAGTTGTTGAATCTTATTATGTTCATACTAATATTTACCGAAAATAAACGCAGTTGACAGTGAGAGGACGTTTCTTTTTTTGCTGAGTTTATATAGCGTCTGACAGTAATCCCTGTATTCCTTGATAACGCACTAAACCTGTAATAATGTTCTTCTGTCTGTCTGCTCTGCTGTGTTCCAGTCTAACTGGATTACACAGCGTGGAGGGAGCTTTCAGAAATACACACTGAAATACTCAACTACATTTTTACATTCCCATTTTAGTCATTTAGCAGACTGTCTTTATCCTTACAGGAGCAATTAGGGTTAAGTGCCTTGCTCAAGGGCACATCGACAGTCGGCATGGGTATTCGAACCAGCGACCATTCGGTTTCTGGCCCAACGCTCTCAACCACTAGGCTACCTGCCGCCCTATACTGAGGGACTGATCTACTTAACCTACCATAGAAGTACTCTTTGGGCTTAAGGAGGCAGATCAGGGACTGTGGCATCAACACAGGGTTTAGGAAGGATAAGATGACTACATTACTGTCAGATAAGTTGCAATACTGTGACACTTTCTGTATTTTGAAAGTTCTATATCTTGAATACTTCACTGCTGACTCAACAGTGGACTAATGAAACAAATACCAAAATATAGTTTTTTAGTGGTATTTTCCTTTCAGAGATGGGCTTGGCTATCTGGTATTCTTAGTGTTGTCAGTCCTTCCACCTTATATATTTTCCACGCTGACGTATTCTTCGATGCAGCTCTGACGTGCTGTCTCTGTAGCATGGTAACCTTACTGCTGGGACACCTACAGTAACCTTCCTTCTAATGTCTGGGACTCACCGGCTGTAGCCTCAGCGGTGGTTCTCTGGGAGGCATCACCTGTGGAAACCACGGCAACATTGTTGACTGGTGTCCCGGCGGCCGCCACAGCAGCGGCGGCTGATTGGACAGGAGTGGAGGAGCCTGGGGACCGAGCCCCGCCCACCTTCTTGGGCGCCACCCGAACGCTTCTGTCAACAAAAAAGAGTAAATATTTTGTTGAAAAAATTTGTTGAATACCATTAAAACACACATTATAAAATGCATTCCCTGAGACGACAGAATAACTATGGACATAAGAACAGAACTTTTGTCATTCCAGAATATTAACAATCGTGATGATGTCAGCTTAGTACGCATATTGCATAGAGAGATGTGACTGACAAGAATCAGGCTGCAGCATGCTAGAACAACAGTATAGGATCCCATTTAGACAGTAGAGAGTCATTAGAGGCCTATTTCCCTGACACAGAATATTCAGTAATGGCTGCATCCATCTTGCCTGAAATCGATTGGCTTCCTGCATCACTCACTCACTCAGTCAGTCAGTAAACATTGTGATTTATTAGCAGAAAGTGGGCCCATCCACCATTATAAATAGTATTAAAGCTTCAATACAAAGGTATCAGCAGATAAACCTGCTCTTTCTTCCACAATATAGTTCAAAGAAAAGAAGCTGCCGCAGATTGTTCTTGCAATGTATCACATTTGTTTTGAGCCAACAATTCGGACACAGCCTCTTTGTAGTTGCATGTTTTACTCCTCTACTATTGTTTAAAACACATGGATAACAGACATGGCCATAGACCCACAGCAGAAGCTGTAGTAAACTACTTTACTCTTAGGCTACCTTAGGTTACACCAGGGGTGGGCAACATGCGGCTCGCGGGCAGGATCTGGCCCGCGAGCCCATTCAATCTGTCCCGATGGAGGTTTGGGTTAAAAAGCACTCCAGGCCACTTTTGAACGTCTAAAACTATATAGAAAGTACGTAGAAGTTATAATGGACCTATACGTTTACACTGTATCCCTGTCCTTAAGGCCCCTACTGTACACTATGGGCCAGTGTTGGAGAAGTCCTGGTGTACTCCCATCCATAACACAGTGGTCTGGTATAGGTTACAGACGACATGGACGTCGATTAAGGCAGCCCCCCCGCACCTCTCGGATTCAGAGGGGTTAAACACATTTCGGTTGAATGCATTCAGTTGTGCAACGGACTAGGAATCCCCCTTTCCCTTACCAATACTGTCCCACTATATCCCTCTACAGTATGGGTCCTAGTGTACTACCATACATAACATATAGTGATCTGGTGCACTACTTCAGTCAGAGGTTACTAATACCGCTGGCAGCTACTGTAACCTACAGGCTCGTGTCAGAGTCTTGGTGTACTTCCGTACAGTATTCTAATTCTACAGTAGCAGTATTTTAGTCTCAGGTTACTCATTCTGGTTACTAATACAACTGTATCCCTCTCCCTAGGGGCCAGTGTTGTAGGAGACCTGGTGTCCTCTTATCCATAACATCCATACAGGAAGAGAGTGGAAACAGCATCTGGATAAAGCTGTCAGTTAAACTAGGCTTCCTGACAGGCCAGTGGCCCTATCAAAGTAGGCCTGGGTCTTCTTATCAGTGCTGACACAGGGGGAGCATGGCCTTATCACTACCTACTGGTCACACACACACACACGTATGCAGGCACACTCATACAGACACACAAAGATACACAAGCGTGCGTACACACACACACACACATACACAGACAGAGAAACACAAACACACACACACATAGAGGAGTATGTAGACTGGGCTCTAGTAGCTCAGCAGACAGAAAGCTGGCGTTGGTATCAAAGCAGGGCCTGGATGATTTAAGATGGCAGATGACACACATTAGGCTGAAGGTACTTTGGATGTTAAACACTGACTGGTTCTGACCCCGCTGTGATCTATGCTCCAGGATGATACAGTCTGGCTGCAGAAATACCAGCAACGGTTAGTCTACTGTCTTAACAGTTTCCCCCTCAGGAGACTGAAAAGATTTGGCACGTGTCCTCAGATCCTCAAAAAGTTCTACAGCTGCACCATTGAGAGCATCCTGCCTGGTATGGCAACTGCTCGGCCTCCGACCGCAAGGCACTACAGAGGGTAGTGCGTACGGCCCAGTACATCACTGGGGCCAAGCTTCCTGCCATCCAGGACCTCTATACCAGGCGGTGTAAGAGGAAGGCCCTAAAAATGGTCAAAGACTCCAGCCACCCTAGTCATAGACTGTTCTCTCTGCTACCGCACGGCAAGCGGTACCGGAGCACCAAGTCTAGGTCCAAAAGGATTCTTAACAGCTTCTATCCCCAAGCCATAAGACTAGAGAACAGCTAATCAAATGGCTACCTAGACTATTTGCATTGCCGTGCCACCCCCCCTCTTTTACGCTGCTGCTACTCTCTGTTTATTATTTATGCATAGTCACTTTAACTCTACCTACATGTACATATTACCTCAACTAACCGGTGCCCCCGCACATTGACTCTGTACCAGTACCCCCTGTTTATAGCCTCGCTACTGTTATTTTACTGCTTACATAATTTGCTATTTTTATTTTTTCTATCTATTTTTTACTTAACACTTATTTTTCTTAAAACTGCATTGTTGGTTAAGGGCTTGTAAGTAAGTATTTCACTGTTGTATTCGGCGCATGTGACAGATAATTTGATTTGATTTGATTTCACACACACTGTATAGTACATACAGGTAATGTTTTAGCTGCTTCTGTTGAATGCACTTATGGTAAGTTGCTCTGGATAAGAGTGTTTAACATAATTTCTCAAATGTAAAATGTATTCCACACTGATAGACGTCTTATTTAGAGAATAGGGTTAATGTACATAATGTACATAGTAAATTCCGTCCATACCATCATTGAACTAGAATCAAGCCAATCGCAGTTTTATTGCCAATACCGCTGATCTATAATTGTGGTACTGTATAACTATCTGCAGTTAAAATGTTGAATCTGTCCCATTAATATGACTTAAAGGGACAGTTGACCCAAATTACAAAATTACATTGATTTCTTTACCCGGTAAGCAGCCTATGGGCAAGGTATGACAGCAATCCATGCTTTGGTTTAGTTTTCTAGGCACTGTTTACACATGCTAACGTTTTAGCATTTGTGGAACAAATTCCATTCATGTCATGTCATGTCATTTTTCGTGCATCATGTCAAAATAATTTATAAGTGACTTTGATGTGCTTCACAATCAATTTGAGATACTTTTATAACATGCCCTTTACATCAAAAATAGAGATTTGGTTGTAAAACGTAAACTTCTCCTTGGAGCTTAATTAATGGCCATACTTCTGAACAGTAAAGAACAGAAGAAATAGGAATGAATATGCTAGCTAATTAGCCTCGGCACACAGTTAAAAACCCATCACTGTCCCTTTGCAGTGGTTGATAACAATTATCCTATTCTGCATTAAACGTATCCTATTCTGCATTAAGCCAAAGATTAATTATTTTGTAGATCAAACAATCAAATGGGATGACTCTCCAGCACCCCAGCATGCTAAGCAATAACTTTAAACATAGGCACTCACTTTCTCACTCACACTCTCAGCCTGTAAGCACATTCAACTCTTAGGAATAGCACAGATTAATGAAATTGCTTGTGTTTACAAGGCGGCGAGCCCGGTTATTGGTTAAAACCTCTAAATTATTCAGGCCCTGCCAACCCGAAACCCAGAGAGCCCAGAGCTCTGCTTTTCCCAGCTCCTCTCCTGGTCGTAGGTTTAATAGTAACAGCCAAGCACCTGCTCTGACAGCTGATTAAATTGACAGGAGCGTGGGGCTCAACGATAAGTGTAGCTAATAACCTAACTGAATAATTTAAAGGCCTGAGCTGCTGGGGAACAGATGGAGAACCAAACACTGAACCCCAACCCTGTCCCGCTATACACTAACATGCACACATTCACACACGTACACACACACACCTCCCCATGGGCTTGACATAGCCTGGCCTCTCTTACTCATGACCAGTGCAGAACCAGACCATGGTCTCCCCTGTCTCTCTCCCGCCGCCGTCTACACCTCTCTCCCTGGGTGCTTCACGTCAGCACCACCCCTGATACTAGTGACTACCATCCAATCTAGTCAGTATCTGATCAGCTGAGTTTACTAGATAGGCCTTTCCCTTCTGGTATGACTTAGAGTAGACATATCTGTCACTGCCATTTCTGATGGCTAGAGTACAGAGTATGTTCATTATTTTATCATCCAACACATCATGCAATACTAGCTACACATGTTCATGTATCGTGTTTTCAAACATGGTTCAAACTGCAAATGAACAACAGGCCATTAGTCAGATTCCACATAGGAATCGTTAAGTTGGATGAACTATATTTAAAATTCCCAAGTGGACGTTGAGGTAAGCATCAGATTCCCACCAGAGCCCCAGCTTTACAGGACACATTGAAGTAAACATCCTTATGAACGCTAACTGCATGTATCATACTGTTGCCCCCTCCAGAAAGGCAGCCCCCCCATTCTCCTGTTTACCATTATGGCTTATTCATGTAAGGGGATGGGGGTTGGGGTGGGGGGGGGGGGGCTGTCTTTCTGTGTCCCATGCAGTCTAGCTTTGATCTCCCCACCTCTCCCTCTCATTTCATGCAGCCCTGTGCATGTGAACATGTGAATCAAGCCTCCTATGATCTTTATTTCCCCCTAACAACAACCCCTTCCCATGACTTTCAGTCACAATGTCCGGTTGGACCTGGCCTTGATGACATCAGCGATTAATGACAGTAGTGTTTGGCCTGAGGACAGCAGAGGTGGTGAGAAAGAAGGCGGAGCTGGAGCACCCTCCATGTCTCTCCTAGTGTGACAGGGGATCACACTAAAGGTTCCTATTCAAGGAGACCCACTGCCATCTATCTGGTCTGACAAGTATCTCTGTCATGGCAGTATGCCGTTTGTTGATTACAGTATGTTCAAGTGCCAATGAGCAACTAGCTATGATATTTGCACTCAATAAGTTCATTTACAATTCCTTACCATAAAACATCATATTTTCAACACGGCCGATCTTTGCTTTACAATTCATGGGAGGCCCATTACAAGGCATGTGGCAAGTCTAACTTACGGCATTCAAAATGTCTTACTAACACACATGTCAAACTAACACCCACATTTCTGCTGTAACATGCCATGTAAATCACACTGCTATTCTGCCTCCCATAGATGACACTGTTTACCAGGGCTCTGGTTAGCATCAGCAAATATTTGCGGACTTTCTGTCATAACACGGGCACATCCCCGAGACGTATGTATGTATGGCGGAATCTAGCCGACCGGGCCTCCATCTCTCTGCCTAGTAAATAAATCAGAGTGATACTTCACCTCTGACCCCCTGCAATTTTTATCTGGGAGATCCTACTTTTTCCACACTCGTAAATGTAAAACCCTGGGACCAGTTATGTGGACGGAGGAAGGACGGTTGGTTCCCATGTTTTGGCGTAGGTGTCAGTGTAGAACGTCAGTGTGGCTGTCTGTCTGCACCAGGACATTATGATGAACTAGTGCTGTGTGTTTGAGCATGAGGTACCGGAGTAGAGCTAGGCGATAGGGACAAAACCCCATATTGGGATAAATTGCCTTAATTGGTGTGATAACGATAACTAAAACAATAGGTTTATAATATGAATGTACACCACAGTTTAAAAAATATATAATTTAAACTACAACTACTAGTTTGACGGTTGTAGCCATCAATTGTCCCATTAACAAATCACTCATATTAGTACATTTATTTCATTTCAAACATCACATTTCTCTAGTATAGGCTACTTATCATCATGAACGATACTTGCAAAATTCCTGTGATAAGTGATCGGTGGTGTCAAAAAAAAATCTGTTTATCGTCCCAGCTCCATTTCAGTGATCAGATGAACTTATATCATAGAGAAGTCTCTTGTTCATTACTGTCAGATTCATATTCATTTGTTGTCTTAAAAAATGATTCAAATCTAAAATAAATACATTCTGGGAACTATTTTAACCATTTCAAATACACCTACATTTACACTATGCAGTTTGGATATGCTCTTATGGCATTTCACTACAAACTGACTGAAAATGAAAGCCTAAAAGCCTGCACTCTCACACAGACGGTAGAGATTATAGTAGACCTGAGAGAGAGAGAGAGAGAGAGAGAGAGAGAGAGAGAGAGAGAGAGAGAGGAGCAGGGCAGAGCAGAGCCCAGACCTGAACACAGCAACACAGTAGAGACCAGGAACCATCAAGATACCCCCAAACCTCTGGCTCGGTGCCTGGTTCTGGGGGGGTAGGCGGATCCTGGTGGGAGATAAAGGTAGAGAACCAGAGGAGGGGTGTGCTGACCTGGGAACCCCAGCCGCCGGGCCTTCATCTCTGGGTTAGAGGGGCCGGGAGCTGCCTGGGCTGGGGCCCACTGGGGCTCCCTGTGGCGAGGTAGAGCTGTTACTCTATGCTCTCCAGCTCTCCTCTTCAACGCTAACGGCCCCGGGAGCCGCTCTAATCCCACCAGATATGAGGAGCGCCCAGAGTCCTGACAAAGCATTCCACAGATAAAGAGGCTGAGGATCACAGGGATGCCTCGGAATTCCCACAGATTTGAAGAGGAGGAGGAGGGGGGGAGGGGGGGGGGGGGTGATGGAGAAATGCTTTCTTTCTTCCTTGGCATGAGAACCTTGACTAGGGGGGATCTTGTTCTCTCTATCCCTCTTGCTCTTTATTTCTCTTTCTCTCTCTCTCTCTCTCTCTCTCTGTCCTCTCCATCTCCTCCCTCTCTCTTTTTCTCTCTCCACGCTTCCTTTGTGTCTGGTGTGCCACAGGGACAATTCCCCCAAATGCAAACCAGACCTCGTCCTCAGTCAGTTCTCTCTCACTTAGAGACGTCTGTATAGCTACAGTACACCTACACCACACACGGCACCGCCTTGCGTTCCCACTAAGTCTCTGACTGCTCGCCCCCTCATTCCATAGGGGATCCAACTAGCCAGCTTCTCTTTCCGTTATTTTAGTACCAGACAGACAGACAGACAGACAGACAGACTGCCTAGCCCACGGTGCAGACAGAGAGAAAGAAAGACTGGGAGAGAGAGAGATGAAATAGAGAAGCTATTAAATATCAGTGACATGGTGAAAAGAAACAGCTTCCTGCTGGCTGCCACAGAGTTGTCTTTTAGATCACTCTCTCTCTCTCGCTTTCCCCCTTACTCTCTCTCTTCCTCTCTGCCTCTGGCAGATGCCTCTATTGTTTTGATGTGTTTTCCTGAAGACAGGTACTTTGTAGCACTGTTTATTTGTGTTGAGAAGACACGTCGACAGGCAAACTAGGGAGCTACAGGGATGGGGTCGAGGGGGGAAGATACAAGAGTTTAAAAGGGGGCCTGTGATGGTGGTGGGTTTTTTGATGTGATGCTTCATCGCCTTCACCCAGCACATGTTCATGTTGGACCGTTTCAAGGTAGGGACGGGAAGGGGTTAAGAGATGTGAAGCTGTGAACCAGGTTTTCGAGAGGTATTTAAAAAGTTTGCAGACTCCGATACAGAGACCAGCCTTTGCGAGACTGACCCCTGATTCTAAAACTCTGTGGCCCACGTACCTGTCAAAGGATCTGAACTGGTTGGGGTTGTTTCCCATAGCAGTTCCCAGGAAGGCCGGCGGCAGAAGGCTGGGGTCCACCATGATGTCATCAGCAGGCACCGAGACCAGGCTGCGAAGGATGTCCTTCACGTTCTTCCCACCCCTGGCGTCCGCCGTGGGGTTGTCTCTGTGAACTCTGACCTCTGAGGAGAGGGTGGACAGGGCCTCGGACACGGCGTCGGGCCCCTGGGCGGTGGAGTCTGCCTCGCTGGGGGCCACAGAGGTATGGTCATCCCCGATGCCAGAGTCACGGCGACGGAGGGACACGCTGCTCTCCAGGTCGGGACCGCCAGAGATGGCACCACTGTCTGATGTGCGGAAACATTAAAGGAGGTTTATAAACATTGAGGAAAAACCTGAACCTTCTACGTGCTTCAAAAATTACTTTGAGAATCTACTACAGCACATCTAAGAGATTGTGAAAACTATCAACACACCAGTACATTTCCAGACACATTCAAGACAATTGGACATTCCATTTAAAACTCATGTATAAGTGAGAGCTGGACATCTTGAAGGATGGACACTTGCAAGATGTAGCTCCTGCGTAGTCATATGGGTGAGGTATGTACCTGCGCTCCTGGCAGACTGGCTGCGCTGGGGGTGTTTCTTGTCGTTTTGGGGCTCCAGGATGTCTCGGTACTTGGACACCATGAGAACCGAGATGAAGTAAACCACGGCCAGGGCCAAGAACTGAGCCTGCTTACTGTCCTCCTTTACCAAAACACACACAACATGCAACACAGCTATAATACAGTACAGTGCCAGTTTGTAATATGTTTTAATACGTACACATGTAGGATCTTAATTTGATCACCCTGTTTAAGAATAACTTGAGGTTTAAAAATGATTCTGAAATTTGAAATTTCAGACTTGATTTTCCCTTACGAAAAATGTAACACCTAAAAAAATGTCCATTAATTTTTATCCACATAATAACTGACATTTCCTGTTGCTGCAGGATTAGGTTCCTGCTGTAGCACACTGGCTGAAAATTAACATCATATATCTGTACAGTATTTCAAAAAAGAAAATGATGGGATCGTCCAAAGACAGCAATAACAAGTTATTTCAATGCATAGGTACTGTTATTTATTTAAAAAGTTGACGCTTTGCCTCCCGAGTGGCGCAGCGGTCTAAGGCACTGCTTCCAGGTTAAGCGAGCGGGTGTTAAGAAGCGCGGCTTGGCGGGTCATGTTTCGGAGGACTCATGACTCCACCTTTGCCTCTCCCGAGCCCGTTGGGGAGTTGCAGCGATGAGACAAGATCATAATCACGAAATTGGGGAGGAAAAAAAGGGGGTAAAAATTACAACAACAACAAAAATTGTTAACGCTTTTCAACCTCAATCAGTCTTTGTCAAAGCTCTGTAAACTCACGATATCTCTGAAGACCACGGCTCTGAGGCGGTTGATGTCCATGTCCTGTAGGAGGCGGTCCATGTCTCTGACGGGAGACATCCCTCCTGTCACAACATCAACAGGGCTCTGCAGGTGTAGAACACACACACACACACAGACACACAGACACGCACACATACACACACACACACACACACACAGACACGCACACACACACACACATAATAATTTAAGCACCTATTGCTGGTTATTGCTGAAAATATCATTATCAGTTTTTATACTCTACCCACTAACCAAAACAAGATATTACAAATGATAACTGATTGTCATTTAATGTGTATGTGTTAGCAGAGGTCAACCACAACGACCCACTCCACCATCAGCAGCTTAAGTGTTGAAAATCAACCCATGGGAAGTGTATAGTTGGCCAGCCCAGTCCACATACAGTACAGTATCTGTCCCATCCAGTGGTATGTTATCCTCTTGAGACTCAGACCCTTAACATAATGGGTTTACCATAGAGCCACTCACTGCATTATGAATGAGATTTTACACACTGGTTTCAGGAAGAAAAACATGGATTTTTTTTTTACTGGAAGTCACTATATCAAATCAAAAGGCCAACAACGACAAAGGGCCTTGTCTAGTGTAACATACAGCAGCGGGCGAAGTAATGCAATAAGATATCAGCTAACGCAATAATAACACTCTGCTATTGCATAGGGAGGACCACAAAGGGATGGGGTCCTGTAGTTGTGCTGTGTGGGGAATTATTAGGATACAAAGGATGACTTACAGGGATGCTTACAATTCACTAAGTGCAGTGATCCTATTCAACTAATATACAGGAGGAGAAATGTAATCAATTATGGTATTTCTCCGTGTTATCTAGGGAGATGGGGAGGGGAGGGGAGGGGGATATTGCTAGAAAGTCAAGATTCCCGAAATGACAGAAGAGAGCGAAGGAGGGGTGGGGGGGTCTGAAGGTAGAAGAGAGAGTGTGACTCAGTGAGGAGGGATGATACTACTTGCCTGCGCGGGCATGGACTTGGCGGCTCCCATGAGGCTTTGTAAAGCTTGCTGGCCACGGGCGCTGTCCTGGCTGGGCTTGAAGTGGGAGTGCTGCTGACACTCCAGACAGTTCCTCACAGCCATGGCACACACTGCAGAGAGAGAATGGAGAGAGATATTGGAGAGATATCAGAGAAAGAGAATGAATAGATATATTGGAGAGAGAGATATATTGGAGAGAGAGAATGGAGAGAGATATTGGAGAGAGAGAGAGAATGGAGAGAGATATTGGAGAGAGAGAATGGAGCGCGATATTGGCGAGAGAGATATTGGAGAGGGAGAATGAGGGTGTTGCAGTGGATGTATAAGTCAAATAAAATAGCATTTTATTTTACTGGTCCCGTACACATATTTTGAAGATGTTATCGGAGGTGCAGCAAAATGCGTATGTTTCTAGCTCCAACAGTGCAGTAATACCTAACAACACAAACGAGCAGAGTCCGGAATATAAATATAATATAAAGAAAAAGAAAATATTAAGATGGGCAGTCTGAAATATGGCATTTTCTTTGCAACTCTGCTTAGGTCAGCATCCCGGAGTCGCCTCTTCACTGTTGACATTGAGACTGGTGTTTTGCGGGTACTATTTAATGAAGCTGCCAGTTGAGGACCTGTGAGGCGTCTGTTTCTCAAACTAGACACTAATGTATTTGTCCTCTTGCTCAGTTGTGCACCGGGGCCTCCCACTCCTCTTTCTATTCTGGTTAGAGCCAGAATATCTGCCGTTTCCAGCTACAATAGCCATTTACAACATTAACCATGTCTACACTGTATTTCTGATCAATTTGATGTTATTTTAACGGACACATTTTTTTGCTTTTCTTTCGAAAGAAATGACATTTATAAGTGACCCCAAACTTTTTAATGGTAGTGTATGTGTATATGTGTATATGTATGTATATGTGTATGTATATGTGTATGTACAGTGAGGGAAAAAGTATTTGATCCCCTGCTGATTTTGTACGTTTGTCCACTGAGAAAGACATGATCAGTCTATAATTTTAATGGTAGGTTTATTTGAACAGTGAGAGACAGAATAACAACCAAAAAATCCAGAAAAACGCATGTCAGAAATGTTATCAATTGATTTGCATTTTAATGAGGGAAATAAGTATTTGACCCCTCTGCAAAACATGACTTAGTACTTGGTGGCAAAACCCTTGTTGGCAATCACAGAGGTCAGACATTTCTTGTAGTTGGCCACCAGGTTTGCACACATCTCAGGAGGGATTTTGTCCCACTTCTCTTTGCAGATCTTCTCCAAGTCATTAAGGTTTCGAGGCTGACGTTTGGCAACTCGAACCTTCAGCTCCCTCCACATATTTTCTATGGGATTAAGGTCTGGAGACTGGCTAGGCCACTCCAGGACCTTAATGTGCTTCTTCTTGAGCCACCCCTTTGTTGCCTTGGCCATGTGTTTTGGGTCATTGTCATGCTGGAATACCCATCCACGACCCATTTTCAATGCCATGGCTGAGGGAAGGAGGTTCTCACCCAAGATTTGACGGTACATGGCCCCGTCCATCGTCCCTTTGATGCGGTGAAGTTGTCCTGTCCCCTTAGCAGAAAAACACCCCCAAAGCATAATGTTTCCACCTCCATGTTTGACGGTGGGGATGGTGTTCTTGGGGTCATATGCAGCATTCCACCTCCTCCAAACACGGCGAGTTGAGTTGTTGCCAAAGAGCTCGATTTTGGTCTCATCTGACCACAACACTTTCACCCAGTTCTCCTCTGAATCATTCAGATGTTCATTGGCAAACTTCAGACGGCCTTGTATATGTGCTTTCTTGAGCAGGGGGACCTTGCGGGCGCTGCAGGATTTCAGTCCTTCACGGCGTAGTGTGTTACCAATTGTTTTCTCGGTGACTATGGTCCCAGCTGCCTTGAGATCATTAACAAGATCCTCCCGTGTAGTTCTGGGCTGATTCCTCACTGTTCTCATGATCATTGCAACTCCACGAAGTGAGATCTTGCGTAGAGCCCAGGCCGAGGGAGATTTAAAGTTATTTTGTGTTTCTTCCATTTGCGAATAATCGCACCAACTGTTGTCACCTTCTCACCAAGCTGCTTGGCGATGGTCTTGTAGCCCATTCCAGCCTTGTGTAGGTCTACAATCTTGTCCCTGACATCCTTGGAGAGCTCTTTGGTCTTGGCCATGGTGGAGAGTTTGCAATCTGATTGATTGATTGCTTCTGTGGACAGGTGTCTTTTATACAAGTAACAAACTGAGATTAGGAGCACTCCCTTTAAGAGTGTGCTCCTAATCTCAGCTCGTTACCTGTATAAAAGACACCTGGGAGCCAGAAATCTTTCTGATTGAGAGGGGGTCAAATACTTATTTCCCTCATTAAAATTCAAATCAATTTATAACATTTTTGACATGCGTTTTTCTGGATTTTTTTGTTGTTATTCTGTCTCTCACTGTTCAAATAAACCTACCATTAAAATTATAGACTGATAATTTCTTTGTCAGTGGGCAAACGTACAAAATCAGCAGGGGATCAAATACTTTTTTCCCTCACTGTATATGTATGTGTGTATATATATATATATATTTGCGAGAAAGAAAACATATGGGGGATTGGAAGTGATGCAGACAATTACATTGATGGAAGTTACAATCTGCAATATTAAAGCTGATCTACCCCCTCAAAAAAAAAAAAAAAAAAAAAAAAGTTCAATGACTATGTACACAGGGAAGCAGTCTCTAAGGTGTAGGGTAGAGTACCGGGTGGTAGCTGGCTAGTAACAGTAAGTAAAGTTCAGGGCAGGGTACTGGGCGGAGGTCGGCTAGTGGTGACTATTTAACAGTCTGATGGCCTGGAGATAGAAGCTGTTTTTCAGTCTTGCCGTCCCAGCTTTGATTAACCTGTACTGTATCCGCCTTCTAGATGGTAGCGGGGAGAACAGGCCGTAGCTCGGGTGGCTGAGATCCTTGATAATCTTCTTGGCTTTCCTGTGACACCGGGTGCTGTAGATGTCCTGGAGAGCAGGCACGCTGCCCCCGGAGAAGCATTGGGCTGGAGAGCCCTGTGGTTGTGGTCGGTGCAGATGCCATACCAGGCGGTGATGAAGCCTGACAGGATGCTCTCAATGGTGCATCTGTAGAAGTTTGTGAGGGTCTTAGGGGCCAAGCGGAATTTCTTCAGCCTCCTGAGGTAGAAGAGGCACTGTTGCGCCTTCTTCACCACACTGTCTGTGTGGATGGACCATTTCATATTGTCAGTGATGTGCATGCCCAGGAACTTTCACCCTCTCCTCTGCGGCCCCATCAATGTGGATGGGGGCATGCTCTCTCTGCTCTCTCCAGAAGTCCACAATCAGCTCCTTCATTTTGTTGACGTTAAGAGGCGAGGTTATTTTCCTGGCACGACTCCGCAAGGGCCCTCACCTCCTCCCTGTAGGTTGCCTCGTCTTTGGTGGTAATCAGGCATACCACCGTTGTGTCGTCTGCAAACTTGATGACTGAGTTGGAGACGTGCGTAGCCACGCAGTCATGGGTGAACAGGGAGTACAGGAGGGGGCTGAGCACGCACCCTTGTGGGGCCCCTGTGTTGAGAATCAGCGAAGTGGAGGTGTTGTTGCTACCTGGGGTCGGCCCGTCAGGAAGTCCAGGGGTGAAGTAGTGAGAGAACGAGAAGAGAGAATTGGGGAGAGACAGAAAGGGAGGGGGAGAAGTGAGGAGCGGTTGAGAAAGAGAAAGAATTGAACGCTCCAGGAACAAGGTCAAGGCTCCAGTCCACCTGGACAGCAGCGTTCACTCTTGCCTCCCTGCTCCCCTAGCCCCAACACACTAGTTCTCCCTGTATCCAAGGTCACAGTAGTTCTCCCTGTATCCAAGGTCACACTAGTTCTCCCTGTATCCAAGGTCACATTAGTTCACACTAGTTCTCGCTGTATCCAAACCCTGCATGGGGCTCATTCAATATTGGATGACGATGGTTCCTCACTGCTTGTGGGCCTTGCCTGGGTAACAGACTACCTCACAGAACATGAGGTAAAATATCTGCTGTTTGATCATTTCAGGTAGGTTTCTGGCTCCTGGCACGGCAAGGGGGCATTTTATTATTTGAAATATGATATCTTGCCATGCTATATTCCGAGCGCTGCTTACTATTTGTTTTTTTCCACCTTCTTTCTTTTACCCCCTCCTTGGTTTCTGTATTTGACAACTCACAAATGTAAACTCTGAACCGTTTAGATTAGAGGTGGAATTATTTTGTCTGGAATGGACTGGGGTTTCCCATTAAGGCCTTCAGGAGAGGCAGTGTGTGTGTGTGTGTTTGTGTGCCTGTGTCTGTGTTTTTTGTGTGTGTACGTTCCCCCTTGAAACCTTGTTACAGTCTATCCAAATCAGATTACTGCGCCAGCAACAGGGAGAGAATAACTCATAAAAAATTCATCTCATAACGGCAGCTCTCTAAAAGCAGGCATGTGCTAAGACAGCATCACTCTCTCCACCGAGCTCCCCACCAATGAGAATGGCCATTGGGATAAACCCAGCAGAAAAAAATGTGACTGGCTATCAGCTGAACAAGGTGGCGTCCAGGGAGACCATTTTGTTTACGAGCTAGTTTGTAATGAGTATTTAAGAGCAAAAATGGATACCAGAGCACGGCCCATTACCCAAATGGAGCAGATGGTTTAAATCACCATGCATAGTCTTACTGTAGTAGGGAGCTTAGGAGTTGGATGAGGGGGGTTGGGGGTTGGATAAGGTGGCTGGTGTAATGTAGTGCCTGAATAAAATGAATAATGTAAAGCATTTGAAGTATATTTTATTCAGCTAGCAGAGCAGGGGCCTTGCCGTGTCTCGGAGCTGTCACTGGGTTACTTTAATAGACTGGAACATGAGGCAGAGAAAGAGAAGGAGATAGAGGGAAAGTGGGTGATAGAGGGAAAGTGGGTGAGAGAGAGAGAGAGAGAGAGAGAGAGAGAGAGAGAGAGGAGAGAGAGAGAGAGAGAGAGAGGCAGGCCTACAACCAGGCCCATTATGGGGAATCGACTAATCATAGGCGGCCATTTTAGAGTGTTGCAGCGCAGAGGGGTTATAATAACAAGATAAGAGGGCTGATACAAGCCGAGCGAGAGAGCGAAAGCGAGAGAGAGAGAAAGAGAGGATATACTATGGAGAGCTTTGGCAGCTCAGGCTGCTATTTGAGTCTCCTGCAGACTGATATAGAGGGGGATCGATAAAAAGAGGTGAATGAGGAGGAAAAGGGTGAGCAAAGGAGATTGAAGGGAGAAGGAGGAAGTGAAGGGAGAAGGAGGAAGTGAAGGGATGAAGAGAAAGTGAAGGGAGAAGGAGGATGAGGGAAGGGGAAGTGACGCGAGAAGGAAGTCTGAGGTAGGATGTGAGTTAGGGTGCACGCGCTTTCGAGTGAAGGATTTGGAGGAGTCAGTGTAGCGTGGTCCTGGGGCGGGCGTGAAGGGAGTCAGGAGCGGAGCTGCGGGCTGCCCACACGCGGCCCCCGCGGGACAGGCTGTCCCCTACGATCGCTGAGCCGTGGCATGGGAGAGGAGATGTGAAGAGATGAGAAGACCAGAAGGGATGGAGGAGAAGAGAGCGGTAGAGACGTTCTTCCATACGTACCCAGGCGAAGGCTCTGTCTGAGGATACCCCCAGAGGACATGTTCTTCTCAGCCTCTATCTCAGTGAAGTTGAGGGAGGAGGCGAAGACAAGAACATCCACCAGGTTGATGAGGCGCTGCAGGAAGGTGACCGACGCCTCCACCGCCAGACCCTGGGACGGCTCAATGTTCTCCAGATCATGCTGAGGAGCAGAAGAGGGACAGACACCATCACTATCACCATTACTGTCAAATCAAATCTAAATCATGACATGTAGTTATTAGTCCATTTAGGGACCATGTTTGGTAAGCAAAGAAATGCCAGAGACAGAGCCTTAGATGGTTCAAATCCTGCTGAGCAACATCCTCTTGTCAATTCAATTTCCACTCTGTCCATTTCCGATATTAATCAGATTAAATCCTCATTGAATTCAATCCCGTCTTTTAATCTAACTACGATGGAATTGAGCCCTGCTGTAGCCACAGCCATCAGTCCATACCGGACAATGTTTCCAGTCTAAATGGTGAAGGGAGTGGTATGGACGGGAGAACAGACAGAGGCCCACAGGTCCATCAGGCATTATGTTATACTAGAGTGATACTGTCACTGGGGTCAGACAGTACAAAAACACACTAACCATGTTACTACTGGCTAACTGTAGTCTAATGTGATTGGAGAAAGGTCAATGGGGATGGATGGACATGGATAACCTCCTGTGGCTGGCCATAAACACACGGACGGACGGACAGACAGACAGACAGACAGACAGACAGACAGACAGACAGACAGACAGACAGACAGACAGAGACAGACAGAGACAGACAGAGACAGACAGAGACAGACAGACAGACAGACAGAGACAGACAGACAGACACACAGACAGACACACAGACAGACACACAGACAGACAGACACACAGACACACAGTGTCTCTCACCGAGGAAGATGTAGCAGCGGAAAGCAGGGGCAGGATGCCTCCACAGGCCATGATGAGGTTGTCCACGACCTGAGAGATGAGGTGCACTGTGTTGTGGACAAACACTACGTTCTCACTGCTGTTCACAAAGTCCATCACCGTCTTAGTGGAGTGACTGGGAGAGAGGGGACGGGCATGAATTATACTGAGGTACATAGAAGCTAAACATTATAACCATCGAATCAATGTACAACACGATCAATGCCTTCAGTCCCTTCAGAAAGTATTCATACCCCTTGACTTAGCCACATTTTGTTGTGTTACAGCCGGAATTCAAAATGGATTAAATTGATTTTTTTTCTCTCACCCATCTACACACAATACCCCATAATGATAAAGTGAAAACATATTTTTAGAAATGTTTGCTAATTTAATGAAAATGAAAATTGTTAATGTTGTAAATGGCTATTATAGCTGGAAACTACAAATACATAGTATCTAGTTTGAGAAACAGACGCCTCACAGGACATGTGTGGCGCCTGTACGCCTATGTAGATATTCCATAAACAATCCGCCGTTTCCAGCTACAATAGCCATTTACAACATTAACAATGCCTACACTGTATTTCTGATCAATTTGATGTTATTTTAATGGACAAAAAAATTGCTTTTCTTTCGAAAACAAGGACATTTCTGAGTGACCCCAAACTTTTGAACGGTAGTGTAAGTATTCACACTCCTGAATCAATACTTTGTAGAAGCACCTTTGGCAGTGATTACAGCTGTGAGTCTTTCTGGGTAAGTCTCTAAGAGCTTTGCACACCTGGATTGTACAACATTTGCCCATTATTCTTTTCAAAATTCTTCAACCTCTGTCAAATTGTTTGTTGATCATTGCTAGACATTCCTTTTCAAGTCTTGCCATACATTTTCAAGCAGATTTAAGTCAAAACTGTAACTCGGCCACTCAGGAACATTCACGGTCTTCTTGGTAAGCAACTCCAGTGTAGCCTTGTGTTTTAGGTTATTGTCCTGCTGAAAGGTGAATTCATCTCCTAGTGGAAAGCAGACTGAACCATGTTTTCCTCTAGGATTTTGCCTGTGCTTGGCTCCTTTCCGTTTCTTTTTTATCCTGAAAAACTCCCCAGTCCTTAACGATTACAAGCACACCCATAAAATGATGATGGTACTTAGTAATGTGTTGTATTGGATTTGCCCCAAACATAACACTTTGTATTCAGGACAAAAAGTGTATTATTTTACCACATTTTTTGCAGTATTACTTTAGTGCCTTGTTGCAAACCGGATTCATGTTTTGGAATATTTGTATTCTGTACAGGCTTTCCTTCTTTTCACTCTGTCAATTAGGTTAGTATTGTGGAGTAACTACAATGTTGTTGATCCATCCTCAGTTTTCTCCAATCACAGCCATTAAACTCTGTAACTGTTTTAAAGTTACCATTGGACTTATTGTCCCTCATTCACTGCTCGACTGTGGGACCTTACAGATAATTGCATGTGTGGGGTACAGAGATTAGCTAGTCATTCAAAAATCATGTTAAACACTATTATTGAGTCCATGCAACTTATTATGTGACTTGTTAAACAAATTTGTACTCCTGAACTTATTTAGGCTTGCCATAACAAAGGGGTTGAATACTTATTGGCTCAAGACATTTCAGCTTTTCATTTTTGATTAATTCATTTTTTTAAATCCAGTTTGACATTATGGGGTATTGTGTGTAGGCCAGTGACACAATCTAAATTGAATCTATTTTAAATTAAGGCTGTAACATAACACAATGTGGAAAAAGTCAATGGGTGTGAATACTTTCTGAAGGCACTGTATCTAATCTGTTTAAAACTCATTCATATCTATCAGAATTTTTTTTTACCCTGACTGAGAACACATTCTCATTTACAGCAACGACCTGGGTAATAGAATGTTTGCAGGATCGACTGTATTTCTTTAGTAAGTTAGTTAGTTAGTTAGTTGGAAAGCCGCCTGTCCTGTAAACGTTCTAAAGTGTTAGAAATGTTAGAAATCAGATCAAAAGGCACTGCAATTCTCCATGTATTTCACAATGTCCCCCCTTTACCTCCTCCACATCTGCACGTCAGTCTCGATGGAGAAGAGCAGGTCTGTGAGCAGGCGCTGGTGCATGTGGGACCAGCGGAACTCTGGGATACGGAACATGGTGGAGCGAGCTGAGGAGCTGCTCTCTCTGGCCTGGCCTCCTGAGGCACCTGCTGCAGCCGCCTGGCCCTGAGGAGCCTCCTGTGGTACAGCACACAGAATGGTGAGCAGTAGCATTAGCCATATAGCCATATCTATATAAACAGGATTAGCTTTGGCTTTAGCATTAGCCATCGAAATATAAACAGGATTAGCTTTGGCTTTAGCATTAGCCATAGAAATATAAACAGGATTAGCTTTGGCTTTAGCATTAGCCATAGAAATATAAACAGGATTAGCTTTGGCTTTAGCATTAGCCATAGAAATATAAACAGGATTAGCTTTGGCTTTAGCATTAGCCATAGAAATATAAACAGGATTAGCATTAGCTTTAGCCATATTACAAAGCACTTTCCGTTAAAGATGCAATATACATGTAAATACAATACAAAGAAATGGCTTGAGACCAGTAAATAGATGAAAGCCTATGTGATGACATACAGGTGTGGTTGTCTCCTTCAGCTCCAGTCTCTCTGTGTCTGAGGCCACACTGGACACATCCAGCCTGGCGATGTGGATCTCTTTGGTCTTGGTAGCGGAGCCGGGGCCCTCTGCTGCACTGTCTTTCCCTGCCTCCACAGCAGTAGCAGTGGCTACCTTCGGAGAGGTATCATTCCTGGTGCTGGGGGCCTCTGTGGCCCCTGAGGCTTCTGGCTGGACCGCCTTGGTGCTGGGGGCCTCTGCTGGAGCTACAGCCTGTGGGGTGTCAGATTTAGAGACAGTGGCCCCTACTGCTGCTGGTGTTGGTAGTATGGCCTCCAGGGCCATAGGGGGCGATGTTGTGGACTCTAAAGGCTGCTGGGCTGGCTCTGTGCTGGTGGGGTCGGTGCCTGGTGAAGACGGGTCAAGGTCAATCTCCTCCATTTTAGGGGGTTGTGTCTGACTCTCCTCAGGTACAGAAGCAGGTGGTGTCTCTTGACTTTCCACTGCTGATTCTGTGACCACGGCAACACTCTCCTCTTCCTTCTTCTTTTCAGTTTTAACCACCTCTGTCTTGATCTCCTCTGCTTTAACCTCTTCCTTCTTCACCTCCTCAACTACAACCTCCTCTAGCTTGATCTCCTCTGCTTTAACCTCTTCCTTCTTCACCTCCTCAACTACAACCTCCTTTGTCTTCACCTCCTCCGCCTCCTTTTCTCCCTCCTCTCCACCAGCGGCGGAGACAAAGGAGGATTCCTCCATGCTGTCGTCGGTGGAGCTGGGTCGGACCTGGTCGCTGACTGACCGGACCGATGCCCCGCCTGCGACTGCTGACCCCTCCGCCACGCTGCCCTTCTGGCAGGCCAAGGTCTCAGCAGAGACCTGTTCCTCCGGTTGCTTAGCCAGTTCCGGTTCCTTGGGTTCTTTCTTGGTATTCTCAGACCTAAGAACGTCGCCGGCTTTGTTGCTGTGTGTTTTTGACCCCTTCTCCCCATCCGTTTGAGGTTTTACTACTTTGTCGGTACCAGATGTTTTAGCATCGTCGCTTGTTTCTGTTTCAGCCACCTTCGCGTCATCAGTTTCTGGCTTGGTCGCTTCGTCTGTTTCAACTGTGCTAGCTGCTGCAGCATCATCAGTCTTGTCTGTGGAGGTCTCAGTCTCAGTCATGGCCTCAATGGTCTTACTGCTGACTTTATCCTCAGTGAGTTTAGCTTCAGTCTCCTGTGTAGTAGTTTCAGCTCGGTCACCAGCACCTCCGCTCTGATCCTCTGAGATCTGATTCTGGACCTGCTGTAGTTCCTCCTCCTCTTCCTCAGCTCTGGCCAACATGTTGGACACAGTTATGGGTGCTTGACCCCTCTGGCTTCTATCCCCTTCTCTCTCTGGAGGGCTGGGGGTGGAGGCGGACGTTGTTGAGGCTGCTGAGGGAGGGGTAGTGTTGGGGGACTCCTGGTTCTGAGGGACCCCCTCTGGATCAATGGTGAGCTCGATCATGGTGGAGGGGGCTGTTTCCTCCCCCTGATCCCTGTTGGTCCGGAGCTGGCCCAGAATCTCAGAGTCTCGGCTGGCCCCGGAAATGGTCCGGATACCGGCCGCATCGCCCTCGGAGCCCAGTCTCTGATACTGATGGAACATACGGGCCAGGTTCTCCTTGTGCTGCTCAAAAGTCACCTGCAAACATAAACAAAGCAAAGTGTTAGTTTCGTTTATTTGACAGGTGCCATGTTGGGCCTACAACAAACTCTAGACCAGATTTTAGCTACATAGATAATAGATCATTAATCTGCATTGACTGAGGGTCAGTGACATGTCCAGAGTCCAGATTATCACCTCTTCACCATCTGGGAGTCTATAGAGAACAATTATCTGCTGTGGCATTTGAGGAAGAGACTATCACCCATCCATGTTAGCAGTCATAGATTAGTTAGTAGATATTGTAAAGTGTGTGTCTGCCAGCTGAACAGTGTCCGTGTGTCATCGGCAAATCCTCCCTCTCCTAATTTAAGGCCCTGCATTAATCACTGTGGCTCTGAGGACAGAAAGTCAAAGGGGAGTAAAGAGGGAGAAAATAAATCTAGACTAGATCCTCTATGCAGCTTTTAACTAAGAACATTTACATACAGGGAGGGTGGGAGAAAGAGAGAGAGAGAGAGAGAAAGGCATTAAAGAGAGAGAGAGAGAGAAAGGCATTAGAGAGAGAGAGAGAGAGAGAGAGAGAGAGAGAGAGAGAGAGAGAGAGAGAGAGAGAGAGAGAGAGAGAGAGAGAGAGAGAGTAGAAACCCTGATTATTTGTAATTAATTAGGCGTTAGTCGTTATTGTTCTAAATTAGCTGGCTACAAGGCTGGTCATTAATCTTCTGGTGACTGGGTTGGCTGTGATTGTTAATCCATAGCTGTTTTCTCAGAGTAGAAGAGTAAAGAGGTCTTTCTAAATGCACCGATAGTAAAGGCCTTCTCTCTCCGGGCAAGTGATCACAGTCTAGTGACTTAACCTTCTCCTCCCCCAAATTAGTTTCTGCTTAATTTGAGATGTAGCATTTCTTTTTACCAATTAAAAGAATGGTGAATTGCATTCAAAGTAGAGCAGTATGGCTATATGGAAACTACACTGGTGTGGCTAGTCAGTGGAATAACGTCACACTGCGATGCAGTACATGTACATTAAGATGATGCATGTTGGCCTTAAATGGGTTTCTATAAAGATTGAGTTACCATTAGAATGGGAGTACTGTACTGTATGACTGTGGTTTTTTAAACGGTGGTTAGCGTAGAGCTACCATAAGAGACCAGCAGCACTGGGTGGCCAAGGCATCAGTCTAGCCAATCTGGTCAAATGGAATTCTAGTCCACGTCTTGGTTAGGGGTACGGAAAAATGCTATGGTAATGTAGGAAAACAGTGCAGGCTATTCTAACCTGACAGCTAACCTCATATATTATCTGGATGTGCTGTCTGTAGCCAAATCACACAGCGCTGCAAATCGACCTTCCAAATTGCATTATAAAACAAAAATAAACTGAAGATATCATATTTCAATATCCCTCTAAACACCCCACCTGTAAACAAACTGAATTCTAATCCAGACATCTCATTTCAACTCAATATAATACAAACTGACATCACAATGCAGACCAATCTGAAAACTGAATGCAATGCAGGGTTTGGCTATAGTCCAGTCATCCTTCTCTTAGTCCATTTAACAACTGTTCAGAGATCAGTTTGGACCCCAGACCGCAGGCTGTGTGGTGTGAGGCCGGGTGGCTCACCACTGGTCCAGGGAGACCCCATAGCAGGTTAGGACCTGAGAGTCCCATTGAGATCAATAGATAGGGAGCGACCACAAAACAAAGGGGAAATGGGGAAAACCAGCGCGGCTCTAATCCAATTAGCTAAATGCAATTCCTCCCTCCTCCCAAATCAACGTTGTCTGTCTCTGCCTGCTCCTTGTCTCTCTCTCCTTGTGTCTCGCTCTCTCCTTGTGTCTCGCTCTCTCTCCTTGTGTCTCTCTCTCTCTCCTTGTGTCTCTCTCTCCTTGTGTCTCTCTCTCCTTGTCTCTCTCCTTCTCTCCTTGTGTCTCTCTCTCTCTCCTTGTGTCTCTCTCTCTCCTTGTGTCTCTCTCTCTCTCCTTGTGTCTCTCTCTCTCTCCTTGTGTCTCTCTCTCTCTCCTTGTGTCTCTCTCTCTCTCCTTGTGTCTCCATCTCCATCTCCATCTCCTTGTCTCCATCTCCATCTCCTTGTCTCCATCTCCATCTCCTTGTCTCTCTCTCCATCTCCTTGTCTCTCTCTCCTTGTCTCTTTCCCTTGATAATTTTTCCCTAATCATGTGAAGCAGGAATCAGAGCAGAGCACTGACTGGTGATGTCTATGGGAAGCAGAAGGGAGTCCATTAAGACCATATGGTTAAGGACAGCCAGACAGTTCCATTGTACTCCTATAGCTCACACTAACTCACATAGTTGGGTTCCCAAGCTATGGGACAGGGTCCACAGGTGGGCCACCAGACAGTTCTAAGTAGGACCAGATATAGTCACATTTGTTTAGGGAAACTAAGGTACTACGTAGATATCCCAATAACCCCCAAAGCTCAGCCTCAGCACTGTGGGAATTTCACACTAGGACTACAGTTTACCTATAAGAAATCTTGTAGACCGTCATTGTTGTGTGTGTGTGTGTGTGTGTGTGTGTGTGTGTGTGCGCGCGCGTGTGTGTGTGCGCATCCATGCATGTGCACAGCCCTGGTCAATGTTCTCCATGTCCTGTACTTCCCTCTCCTTTGTGGAGTTGTCGATGTGTCCATCTCAGCATTAAGGCTGAACAATAGAGAGAGAGAGAGAGAGAGAGAGATACCTGAACCACTGTGACTGACCCAAACTTAAGGAAAGCTTTGACTATGTACAGACTCAGTGAGCATAGCCTTGCTATTGAGAAAGGCCGCCGTAGGCAGACCTGGCTCTCAAGAGAAGACAGGTTATGTGCACACTGCCCACAAAATGAGGTGGAAACTGAGCTGCACTTCCTAACCTCCTGCCAAATGTATGACCATATTAGAGACACATATTTCCCTCAGATTACCGCGATCCACAAAGAATTCGAAAACAAACCCAATTTTGATAAACTCCCTTATCTACTGGGTGAAAAACCACAGTGTGCCATCACAGCTGCAAGATTTGTGACCTGTTGCCACAAGAAAAGGGCAACCAGTGAAGAACAAACACCATTGTAAATACAACCCATATTTATGTTTATTTATTTTCCCATTTGTACTTTAACTATTTGCACATTGTTACAACACTGTATATATACATAATATGACATTTGAAATGTCTTTATTCTTTTGGAACTTCTGAGTGTAATGTTTACTGTTAATATTTATTGTTTATTTCACTTTTGTTTACTATCTACTTCACTTGCTTTGGCAATGTTAACATACGTTTCCCATGCCAATAAAGCCCTTAAATTGAAATTGAATAGAGAGAGAGAGAGAGAGAGAGAGAGATGACCGATGCCTGGTGAGAGGGAGAGAGAGACGGGCAGGAAGGAGGCGATGAGAGAGACGAGAGGGGAGGAGAGGAGAGAAGAAGAGAGAGAGAAGAGGATGAAGAGAGAGAGAGAGGAGAGAGAGGGAGAGAGAGAGAGAGAGAGAAGAGGACGAGATGAGACGGAGAGAGAGGAGAGAGAGAGAGAGAGAGTAGATGAGAGAGAGAGAAGAGAGAGAGAGGAGAGAGGAGAGAGAGAGAGATGTTGTGTCTCAATACTGGGAGGCTTTGTACTATGGATCCATATTCCCTTTTGTCTTGTGGGCTGCTGCTAGTAGAGATCTAGAGCACACATTAGAGTAAACACACAGGAACATAACGCTAGTTTGTAATGTGTAGACGCCGTTATTGAGCTAATAAAAGACTACAAATAGACAATTCAAACAGGACTATATCTGAAAACCCCATCTGGCTTTTTCTGTTTTACAAGCACACCTGCACAAATGTCGCTTTGTCTGATGGCATCATTTTCACAAGGTGGATACTACAGAGAAGCTGACTGTTGAAGCTTGAAGGGTATGGAGTCCTTCACACACTGATGACTGTTTTAGAAATCCAACTCATTTGTGTGCAGAGCTGGGAGAAAGGCACTGTGTGTGTGTGTGGTGGCAGCAGGCCCACCTGCAGAAACATCTGCTGGTCTGCTCACACTGCCTCACAAAGCCTGCTGCTGCTCTGGCTCAGATAAAGGACACACACACACACACTAACATATTTGTTCATTCATCCAGAAATGTGTGCATTCATCATACACATGTGCACTCACCCCAGTTACACACAGGCGTGCACTGTGACTGCACACACACACAAAGGATGGTCAATGAACTAAGGGTGGAGAGGGCGGAGAGAGCGAGAGCACGCGAGCAGCGAGAAGGATATGCAGCGAGTCTCATGTCAAGTGAGCATAGAAGTCACCTGCAAGTGCTCCATATATCTATGCTTAGTCTCTTCTCTCTCTCTCTCTCTCTCTCTCTCTCTCTCTCTCTCTCTCTCTCTCTCTCTCTCTCTTCTCCTCAAAGAGAAGGAAGAATACATCTGGCAGAGGTCATTTAATTGTATTTAATGTAACTAATAAATCAGTGATACATGATTCAGTGTAAATGTAATATTGTAATCACAAATCCTGTGACTTAAAAACAACGTTATTTTTGTGGGAAATGAATTCATGCAATTTTCATAAAATTCACCTAAGAAACAGAGGCACGTCCTTTAACTTGCGGTATGTACACAATGTGTTCCAAATTGCAAATCAATGAATAATAAAATGGATAGAGACTTGGATGCATAGGAGAACGTGTGCATACAGTATGTAGATATTTATGAAGGTGTATTTATCAGGATGCCCCCAGTGGGCTGGTTAAATTGATGAGGCCTTGTTTCTCTGATTGTTGAGGTGCAGCTAAGGATGAATATTCAATGCGTTCAGAATACGGTTTCTAGAAACCTCAGAGCAAAGGAGGAGAAAATGTATGTGTGCTAAAGGGAGAGAGTGGTACACACACACACAGCTCCGCAGCCACACACACACACACACACACAGCTCCGCAGCCACACACACACACACACACACACACACACACACACCACACACACACACACACACACACACACCCCCTGCAGCCGTGGGAGGAGAGAGCAACAGTGACAAACAGCCCTGCTGCTACAGAGGTGGCAGGAAATCTATCAAACCGGACAATAAAATTGCAATTGAGTTTCTCCAGCTTTTTTATTTATTTATAGCAGATGCATGTATCTGGATGGCTAGTGCCCGCGCACCTATCCAATTCAAAGACTGCATGGGACCCTCTATATGTGTGTGTGTGGTGCTGTTTTTAGATTAGTGCTGGGGCACTGTAAACAGAGCTAAGCAGCAATAGCATTAATCTTGTGTAATTATGGGAAAAGGCAAGTACAAGCTGTCCGGTACTGAACAGAATGATCAATTCCTTTACACACATACACTTTTTTGCACAGCGGCTGGTATGGCAGTGTTGTAAAGTGAAACTACAGAACACCGTGTGATTGTGGCCTTGTGAAACGTGCTACAACAATAACTCGGGGCGACACACAACCCTAAATACACCAGGTGTTACTTACAAATAAACAGTCACTTTGGGTTGATTTTGTACTGCATAGGACTGATGTCAATTGGACAAGCCTATGACTTTTAACAAGTGTATTCACATCTGCTCCCAGCTAATTTAAAGGGTAATGTTTCTGCAAAACGATTCTTTAATATACAATATATCTATACACATTTTTTTTTTTTAAAGGTCTCATGAATAAATAAGATGCTGTGTATTTACTGTTATATTCTACAGTGTAGAAAGCAATATTCGCGATTTGATGTTTTAGCTGAAGTTAAATACTCCCAATCATTTATCTATGAAAAGCTTTAGTACAAAAATACATCACAAAAAGGAAATGACTGAAAAATGACTGTCACGATAAGCCACATGAAAGTCCAAGGCAAAAATGCAGAAACGGCAGCAGATTGATTTGGAGCAGTCTAGCCAGCACTGGCGGTGATGTCACTTTGTAGCTTTATTTGTTTTTTCTCCACGGCTTCATATTTACTCTGCACTGTCCTTACCAATGATATGACAACTCATTCAGTCAGATATGATACACAAACATTTTTTTTCGCCTACAACCTTTAGGATAGATACACACGGACAGAGCTGAGGTGGGGTACGTAAATGTTGAGGTCGAGAGCTTTTGGACTAGCAAATACAGTGTAACCAAGCCAACCAACCCCAGTCCTGAGAAAAGGAGAGAAACAGAGCCAAATGGTGTAACTGTGCCCCCTTGTGGCCTTTCTCCATCACTACATCCTCAGAACTCCATAGACATCCACCTCAACACAAAAATAGCCTTGTTTCCCTCAACCAACCACCAATCTCCCAAGCTTTAGAAACCACCCCAGACCACAATCCGACTCCGACCAAATTACTTCACTGCCTTGGAACCTGGCTCTGTAATCCAATATCAACAATTCATTTTTAAACAGCCTTTTTAAAATGGAGTTTCTGAAATAAGAAGTGCTGGTAGCTTATGTTTAACTAAAGGGAGGGAAACTCAATACATAAATAAATGACTGGAAGGGATGGAAGAGGGAAAATAACTGATTCCAATAAGCCAGCAAACTGTAGTTCTTACATCATAATCAGCACAAGATTTCCACCAGGCTAGATCTGATGGGCACCGAGAGAGGCAGTTCTCTGTTAGTCAGTCACTATCACTATGAGTGGGTCATTAAGGCTAGCAGGGATCTTTGGATATTTCCTCTGGTAGCTTATAGGGTGAGACTGTTATTATGTCAGGATCAAACTTAAACAAGGAAGGCCCTGACTGGTTGGATAGAGACTTGAGATAGATCTTGACGTCTGAGCGCCCTCCAGAAGCTGAGGTAAGAGAAAGGGCAGCGAGGTGAGTGGAGTCTCATTTCAGAGTGCTAAAGAAAGAGAGAGAAAGTAAGAGGAGCGGGAGAGAGAGAGAGAGAGAGAGAGAGAGAGAGAGAGAGAGAGAGAGAGAGAGAGAGAGAGAGAGAGAGAGAGAGAGAGAGAGAGAGAGAGAGAGAGAGAGAGAGAGAGAGAGTGTTCACAAAATAATGAAAAAGAGAAAAGAATGTAGCTAAAAAAAGAAGGAGAGATTGGAAGAGCAAGATCCAGAAGCCCTGCGTCTCTCCGTGTGGCAGAGTTTGGTTGACCGTCTGAGGGGGTTAATGAGCTCTCTGACCTTGGAGTGGGTGATGGACAGGGTGTCCACCCACACGCGCCAGCCGCCCCACTCGTACTTGATGGCGTGGTAGAGCAGGATGCGGAAGATGGCGTACACCATCTCAGTGACCTTCTGCTCCTCGCTGCTCTTGGGGTTGATGAAGCACAGAGAGAGCATCCAATCTTGCCACACAGAGCACTGCAGCAGGCTCCTGATAGACACACACACACACACACAGATATTAGCGCACTGAAGACTCAGTACAGTATGTGCGTGCAAACACACAAACATTTGAAAACAATTCTACATACACAGCGCACTCATGTAGTGTACAGATAAACAATATCACAAAAGGATACACATCTTCAAAACGTCCTGTACTCTGAGCATACGAAAGACAAAGCTTGTTGGCCTCACCCCAGTAAAGCCCCAGCATGGCGCCAGCATGAGGAACTAGGGCTCAGACCTGGCTTCAAATAGTATTTGTTTCCTTTCAAATACTCCCTAGAGTGGATTGATTGAGCTTGTCTGGAGCAACTGATCCAATGGAATAGTCACAAAACTGCAAAACCCCGCCCACCTGGCACTCCAGGCGGGCTCAAGCAAACTCAATGTTTTTGAAAGATTTCAAATACTATTTGAACCCAGTTCTTGTTTAGTGGTAGTCTATTGTAGTGTAGTCCACTCCAGGGCTGAGACGTTCCTTACCTCCTGTTATCTTTGCTGTTATTGAACAGTTTGATCATGTCTGACAGGAAGACCCTGCGCACCTCCATGCTCTCTGGGGAGAGGGGAGAGTTCTTCAGCAGGGCAGCGATCACCTTCAGGACCTCTGTCAAAACCCAGCAAAACACGTTATGTTAATGCACCGTTACGGTGTCTGACACGGTTTAGTAGACACAGACGCACTACTTTCACGGCAGGGTTACTGACACGGTTGGTACAGAACAGACGGTCAGCAGAGGCACGCAGAGAACAGAGTGTTGTCTGTCAAAATATCATATCTTCATTCAAATAAGGACTTTTTAATACTGATTCACCAAATAAGAAGTGGTTAAGCAAGGGACAGAACCTGAGAATTCATGTAAATAAATTCTGATTGTTTTGAAAATAGTGACATGCTACAATACTGACTTTTAAACATTTAAAAATATCCTAATATTTATACTGTATAATAAACTTTTACTCCCTATGAGTGATTCAAATTGTATATCCTAAATTGCACCAAAAAATGATATTTTTGAATGAATACACACGTTCCATGAAACAAATCAACTGCAGAAGAAGGGAGTAAGAGTCAGACCACAATTCAACAACACAATCAAACAATTAATCTCAACATGTGTGAATCATTGTGTCACAAGCCATCTTGATTTGACTGTCAGCAGACACTTCAACATTTTTGTGGTGGAAACAATCAAACAAAGTTTGGGATTGTTTAAACTCAGAGCTGTGTGTGTGTCTGTGTGTGCCTGCGTACACTTGTGTGTGTTTGTGCAACAGTGTGTGTGTATGTCTGTGTTTGTGTGTTTGTGTACCGCGTGCGCCAAAGTCATATGCAGGCTTCCTGGAACCCTTTGTTTGATTAACCTAAAGAGACTGCCTGTTTAGATGAATTATATAGACAATGTCAGTGTCCATTTAGCTTGAGTCGGGAAGGGGGGGGGGGGTTTATGATTTCACTTTGCCGTCTTGGACCTTGCCGGTAACCGATGGTAACCAACGAGGCCCCCTCGCAGCACAGACGTTTATGTTGTTTCTATAAGCCTTAGTCAATCAAATTATGAATCGCTGAACTCTCACTGCCAGAAAATTACCTCTGCATGTTACTGGGGGATGGAGGGAGGGAAGTATGGGGTCTTTTCCCCCATTTGGTCGTGGTTTCTTTCCATGGAGTTAATTTAAGGGAAACGGTACTTCCTTAGTTTGTTTGATTCGCTCTGACGTTACTAAAGACTGCAATCAGGCCCATTTTGAGGCTTCAGAGCAGATAACATCAAGAACAGAACGCAGGCAGCTACGGTAAAGGAGAAACAGACTCCACGGTGCTCCCATTGCTTACAACTCCCATAAAGTGTGTTCAGTTCACATGCAAAAAGCACATTGGACTGTCTCTTTGTGTTTTATGCAGCACACGACTGGATGCCTTTAACACAGTGAAGGGCCTATGCTAATCAATGTGTGGCTATGAGATGTGGAACACACACACACACTATGAAGTTTAACTGTAAGATTAGAGCAGGGATAAAGTAATCCTCGGGTTGTGATTTCAGCCTGACTCCGTTTTTTCCCCCCTCTCCGCCACAGCTGAGGAAGTTGATTCTCCCACATATGAAAAGGTTTTGAGAGCTGACGTGAAATTAGAGGTAAGTAATGGTCTGAAAATACTAGACTAGGACAGGATGAGACAAGTACATTGCTTTGATCAATGGGGTTGCTATGAGCTTGTTACGTTGCATCATACAGAAACTAAGCATGAACGTTTTCCCTCTTAATGAGGCATGTATATAAAAATATGCCCCCGGTAGTAAAGGAAAATGGCTAGTCTCTGGGAGTATTACTTTAAATTACTGTATGTGCACATTATCGGAATATTAAAAAGGTAAACATCAAATGAGAACCCCTTTGCAGAAGACAGGGTCATAATTCAAAAATCATTTGAAATGTTTCTAATTGCCAAGAAAAACTGTAAAATGGTCTGTGAGGTAAATTTTGAAGTATAAATTCCTCTTTCTCTAAACTCTTATTAAAAAGACTAAATAATGCCATTGTATATCAACTTGATGAAATACTAAGTTGACATCTAAGATTGTTTGTTGCATCATTTCCCGGATGGACCAAAGATCTACTTTTGAAAAATGACAGTTGAGTTTCAAAACTAGGAACTATTATGTTTGTGCATAATGCTGCGAGGCCTGGTGTTGATTTCATGAGCTCTTTAACGATGCACTCATTTTATTCAGTTCCACTTCAGCTGTTGTGTGAACGTCAACTGAATAAAATTGATATTTCACAACTTTACTTTGCTGCGATACATTATTTAAAAAATATACTATCGCAATATAATTTCCAGTTATCATTTAATTATGTTTATGTAGCTTCTTTTCTCAATAGCTACTCTTTTTAATAGCATTTTCATAAAAATGATTGACTTAAAATGTAGCAGTTGAATCTTATAGCCCAACACGACCACTATTCGTCTAACCATATATGATCACTTACCGCTTGAGTAGTGTAGATATGTAGCCTACAAACTATGCTCCATATTTGTTGGCCAGTATATAACTGGCACCGGTCGTAAGGGAGAGGAGGCTCTCTAGGTCTGGTCAAGCATGCAGCAGTAGGTAAAGGTGATTTATTTAGTGGTGGGGTGCAGAGGGGTACGGAGGGGGTGCTGTGCGGTGCCGAGGGGTGACTCACGCGGGTTGAGAATCTTCACAGTGGAGTCAGGGTCCGGATGCTGTTTATGGATCACTTGGGTGCAGATCTGCTCGGTCAGGATCTACAGAGAAGGAGAGAAAGAGAGAAGAGAAACGGGGAGGAAAGGAGAGGAGAGGGAGAAATACAGAAGACCCATAAATACTTTTATGTGAATCTATAGCTCATAGTAACAGCACCAAGAAGTACATGAGTTCCCCATTGCAATTCCACAATCATACGTATTCAGTTCAACCAGGATCTACACAAGACGAGGGAGAGGGAGAAAGAAGAGGTATATAAATACTTTTACACATCTATATCTCATACTAACAGCACCAGGGAAGAGGTACATTGGGCCATATAGAAATCCACATATGTTCGTATGTGTTCATCAAGTCTTTACAGAGAAATAGGTAACAAGAATCAGTGCCGAATCGTAAAGACGTCATTATTTCACAGTAACAGCAGGGGAGGAATACATTGTCTTGACAATCCCATATATTCCTAGGTGTCAAAATATGTCGTTTCCAAGGCCAGATACAACCAGTCCATGATTCCTGTGGAGTTTAATATAGTGTACATTACTGCATATGTCCATTAAAAGTCTCGGTACGCCATTATAACATAGGAACATTAACATAAACTACCATCATTTGAGTTAAGGAACATACAGTACACATTAAAGGTATTACCAATGGGTAATAATAGTACCTCATGCTTCAAAATGGACTGCAATGTTTTCAGAGGTGATATGCTATTTAGGTCCAGACAGAAGGAGAATAGCTAGAGCTGATGCAAGCCACAGTAAAACTAGAGTTTAACTACACGTTCTATACAATTAAATCAAAAAAACTATAAAAGCATTCAATAATTCAGAAAACACACTTTGAATCTAAATAATGTGTATTCAGAATTAATTCATGTGTAATCAGTGCATGTATAATTGAACTAATACAGTGACGGAAATCATCAGCCAATGCAAATACAAAATGGAGGGTGTTAGTATGAGGATTTTTTATGGGGGAGGCAAAGAGAAACTAGCTTCGTATGTCAACTACTACATTTTCTTATAGACTCTCCTACACATACATTTCTTATAGACTCTCCTACACATACACGGCTAGGAAGAGATGAGAGAGGGACTAACTGACCTCGAAGAGCACGTTGTAGGTTGTCATGCTGAACTGGTTGGAGTGGAGCATCAGTCGCTCGTTGAGCAAGGAGAAGAGGCCGTGACCCAGCATGACCTCTGACTTCCTCCTGGAACAAAGATCAAGGGTCAAACAGTCAGTGAGAATCCATTGACATTTGGTAACAGCGCATTGATCACCGTATCCACACATACTGGATCAGTGTATCAGGTCGCACTTAATTCCATGCAAAAATGTTAACTAGACAGTTACCTATAAATTCACAAAAGCGTTACCTGGCACCATTGTATGGTATAGCAAGCAATGTTTCCAAAATGGTGGGCCGTACATATTCCATTTTGGGTTGTCGGTCAAATCCGGCAGCAAATATATAGAAAAATCCTTGTGAATACGTTGGTTGAGGACTGACAAAGGAAATGGTTTGTGAACCACCGCTTGTGTAAGCTTACCAGTGCTTCAGAACACACTTGAACACAGTTGAAAGATATGAGAAAAGCACCCCTGCAGAGGCTTGTCAGGACCCTTCAAAGACAAGTATCCCTCAGAGCTTTCATCTCTGAGTACTGTTCATCTGTAAATATTTTGGGATGATAAAGGTGCTATAGTCAGACAGCAGAGAGTCTGACTGTCTAAGACAGGGGTTCCCAAACTTTTTCCCTCAGGCCCCCCTTCCAGCATTACGGAACATCCTCTACATGACTCACGCATGCATGCCCCACATCTATTTCTATGGGCACAAGCACTGTTTATGACACAAACTGTTCAGTCCCCTCTTGTTGGTGGAGAGAACATTTTGCAGATGTAAAGCGTATTTCCTGCAATTCTACCCAAAAAAAATCATGGGGTGCCGATCAAATGTTGCAGTTTTAAAGCATGTCTAATGTGTATTCATGTGATATTTGAGTGACTCAAACATTACAACAAAATCTATGGGCTAAAAAACCTAGCTAAAAAAATGTTTGCTGACAAGGGCTAGTTGATCTGGACATTTCTGACAAGTTATAAATAGCTCTCTAAGGTATGCAATGACTAACATGACAAGAGGAACTGATGATGCACTACCCAATTTAGAAATTGCACCTTGTGCATTCTACTATTACAACTTTCAAGACTAAAGTTGAAAGCTGGACTGAGATCCTTCAACAACAACAACAAAAAAATAGTTAAAAAATGTTTTTGGGGGGGGCCACTGAGACTGGGGATGAGGCTGGGGCTGAGGCTGGGGCTGAGGCTGAGGCTGAGGCTGAGGCTGGGGCTGGGGCTGAGGCAGAAGACATATGCACTAACACTGATCAAAAGTGTGGGAGATCAAAAGGGAATCAGTAAAATTGGAAATAGAGCCTCAATGAGCCCTGCACTGTATTTCATCCTGGGTTGTTTTCTTTAAACTCTGACAGCGATCTTAATTGTTCGCTGAACCAAAGGAGACTTACGAGTGGCTAATTTGTTATATAAACACTTCTACACAACTAGAGGCAATTTACTCTCCAGAGAGCGAGATTTAGAAAGGTATTTAATACCAGCTATTCCTTTTACTACAGTATGCAGGCTGAAAGAAGATTAGATATCGACCTCCACCTGAATGAGACCCTTTTCTCTGTAGATACTCAGCTCCATGATGGGATTTGGCTCTTATAATATACAACTGAGGAGAGGCCATTTTGAATTGAAAACCCTTTTGGCTGCCTACGGGTAAATTACTATAGAATAGGAAGTATTACATAAATGACTGAGCCAAACTGAGTCCTTCTTTAATCTGGAATAAATATACTTTTAATGTCCAAGGCAGAATTTGGTGCTTTTATGTGACTGAACGTATGGACAATTCTTAATAATATCCTACAGACATGAGTACAAGGTAAGTGCAACCAACATATTAGAGTTCTTACTTAGCGGGCAAGTGCTTGAGGAAGTAGCCCAAGACTTTGAGCGCCTGAACTCTGATTCCTTCACTGTTGGAAGCCAGCAGCTTGTAAATGGCCCTGTACAGAAACAAAGAAAAATACATGAATAACAAACATCACATATTTAAGCAAATGTAACAGTATCTCAAACTATAAAACCTAAAAGAGTGTATCAGAACCAAACATTTACAGAATCATTTCATTACAGATCATATCTGCTTTGTGAACCTAGTATACAGTTGTATAGGACATCTACTTTGGTTGTAAAATAGAGGCGGTTGGAGCCTTCATGAGTGGCAAGAAAAATGAGAAGGCACCCAAAATGTGCATCAGACAAAGTTTGCCTGAAGCCTTTATGAGTGGGACTATATCCGACACCAGCCCAGACATGCATGGTTAATACACTACGTTTAACCCCCTGTGACAGGGAACGCAAACAAGGTGACTAAATAAGCTAGACAAATCTTGTGTGCCGTCGTCGCTGAATGTCAATAGTCCTGCAGATAAAGGATCAAATGAAGCCAGTAAAGCGTCTTTATTGGCCTCAGTGTCATCTGGCTTCATTTTGGCTTCATGAAACACAGACAGAACCATAAGGCTGCATCTGAAATGGAAACCTATTCCCTTTATAGCCTCTGGTTAAAAGTAGTGCACTATTATACAGGAAATAGGGTACCGTCTCTGGCACTACAAATGTAAGAGGGTACCATTTCGAAGGCACACAGGAAGTAGGCTAACGTCACAACGATCTTGTTCTCAGACACCGAGGCCGCAGGGCCTGTGGTGGAGTATGTGCCACCCGTTGCCATGGGAGATGGCAAACCCAGAGGGAGATGACGTTACAGTTACAGTACTGTCATAGAAGTCAAATGACTAGAACGGGCATCCCCATTGAAGTTCCATGATGGGTGGTGGGGTCATTCTATTCCTAAGCCTACCGTATTCCGTTGCGCTGATCAAAGGCCTGGATCATGGAGCCAGGATGCTCCGACATCAGAGCCACCAGCAGCTGAAGCACATCTATTAGATTGTCGTCCTGGGAAAATAAATAAAGTTGTACTGAATTGAATTAATCAGATCGGGGGGTGCAGGAGGGAGGGGGCCCGGAGGAGGCTCTGTTGTTAGCATTATTAACAATATGATAAAGAGTGTGTGTGTGTGTGTGTGTGTGTGTGTGTGTGTGTGTGTGCGCGCGCGCGCTAATGAGCTCACAATTAGCATCGCCTTTCAACCCAATGAGAGATGAATAGTCTGGCTAGTGGGTGTGCTGATACATCATGTATCATCATGAAGCAGACTCCAAAACACACACTACATTACAGACACCCACATGCATGCAGATAGAGTGCGCCACAAACACAGGCATTGATCATGTAAGTGCAATAATTAATACTGTTTATTTTCGCATTAATTATTGATTAATTGGTGACACACGACATCAAAGATCAAACCAGCGCACAACTTCCATCGCGTTTAGTAATGGTCGCTACGGAAAAAGATAATTCATCATTGACAACAAATATTGATGGAATGAATAATAAACGGAAACAATGGAATCATCTGATGAATGAACAATCCATAAAAGACTGTGGAACCCCTGAAGGACAGCGGAAATCCCCCTTGTTCCTGCAGGGATTATTCCTGCTTGGTTTACAGCACTATTATTTCTCTATGCATCACTGCAGTGTAAACCCAGAGGCTTCTGTGAGGGAGGGCATGGTGAAACTTTGCAACGGTTAAAAAGAGCCTTGTCGTTTCCCCGGCCCAGTGTGATTGGTCGGTCTATCCATAGTATAGAGCAGAGAGGATCTGGAAGGAAGGAGCCGGAGCTGTTGGCTTAGAGTGCCACCTAGTGGGTAGTTGATATTTTCTAATGATCTTTTTGTTCTAACCTCATGCATGGTGAGCAGGTAGTTGAGAATACTCTGAAGCTCATCTTCCTTCACTCCGTAATCCTGAAAATAGATAGTACAGAATATAAATCAAACTTTTCACCGATCATATTTATTGTATATTAACATTAGGTGTAAAAGGTGAAATATTAGCTGGAATATTTGTTTTGAATCAAACGAGATTCTCATTATATAACAAAGCATAAACCAGCCACACACTAACCTTCATTATGAGTTGTTTCACAAACAGCAGCAGAAAAGCTCTGAGGGAGTGGATCTCCTTCTGATTGGGTCTCGGACCGTCTACACGCACAACGACAAACACAGACAAACACACACAGACACGCAGGGACAAAGTCATTTTCAAAAGGATTTGATTTAGGATGCCATGCAGAGCTCACAGCTGTAGGTAGACAATACAACATATTTATTCTAGGTTTAGCAGACAACATAGAGGTACAAGAAGGACAGGAAAGCACATTCTGCAGGGGACACAAAGGACTGGATGAAGGACCCAGTTTCACTCAATAAAAGTAGTGTGCTGCTCTACTTCCATGCCAACACTACAGCAACACTAGTCTAGGGGGAGGAGAGGAGGGGAGGTATCCGTCTGTGTCAGTGTGTGTAGAAAAGTGTGTGTTAGTGGAAATATGAAAGAGTGCGGTGTGTGTTTATGTGTGTGTGTAGGGAGGCATGTGTGTCTACTCCTGTGTCCACGTGCTCCTGTGTCTGTGTTCTCTTACCGAGGCCCTTGGGCGTGACTCCGCTGCGGTCCTGGGGGTTGACGACCCAGTAGTAGTACTTGAGCGTGTGCATGACCTGCAGTACCGTGCCCACCCTGCGGATGGCGTTGTAGATGGTCACCGTGCTGATGAACTCGGTCGACAGGTAGGTGTACAATGTCAACTGCACCTGGGGGGGGGGTGAATGCACACACACACACACATTAGGAACACACATACACATGTTGGGAACACACACACACACACACACACGTAAGGACACACACACTTTAAAAACACAGCATGAGGTGAGGCAGAAATAAAATCCAATGTCAGTGTGTGAAGGGCTGCCATGCTGATGTTAACTGGAGTGTTGTAAGCCCATAAGGGTATTTAGACACGCACTTCCTGGTTCAATAGCAGGCACAGGTGGAGGTCTGTACAGTAGCCTAACCTACTGAATGGTGGCCTGTAGCTCTCATGTACGGGAGGAGAGGTACAAGGACGAGAGTATGAAAGGGTGATGGTGGGATGGACAGAGGTGTGTGTGTGTGTGTGTGTGTGTGTGTGTGTGTGTGTGTGTGTCTGCACGTCACATTTGTCCGTGCATTTGTGTGTGCCTTCATGTGTCTACCTGCCTGCACAACTGTGTCCTTGACTGTGTGTCACCATGCATGTGTCTACCTGCCTGCACAACTGTGTCCTTGACTGTGTGTCACCGTGCATGTGTCTACCTGCCTGCTTGACTGTGTGTCACCATGCATGTGCCTACCTGCCTGCACAACTCTGTCCTTGACTGTGTGTCACCATGCATGTGCCTACCTGCCTGCACAACTGTGTCCTTGACTGTGTGTCACCGTGCATGTGTCTACCTGCCTGCTTGACTGTGTGTCACCATGCATGTGCCTACCTGCCTGCACAACTCTGTCCTTGACTGTGTGTCACCGTGCATGTCTACCTGCCTGCACAACTCTGTCCTTGACTGTGTGTCACCATGCATGTGCCTACCTGCCTGCACAACTGTGTCCTTGACTGTGTGTCACCGTGCATGTGTCTACCTGCCTGCTTGACTGTGTGTCACCATGCATGTGCCTACCTGCCTGCACAACTCTGTCCTTGACTGTGTGTCACCATGCATGTGTCTACCTGCCTGCACAACTCTGTCCTTGACTGTGTGTCACAGTGCATGTGTCTACCTGCCTGCTTGACTGTGTGTCACCATGCATGTGCCTACCTGCCTGCACAACTCTGTCCTTGACTGTGTGTCACCATGCATGTGCCTACCTGCCTGCACAACTCTGTCCTTGACTGTGTGTCACCATGCATGTGCCTACCTGCCTGCACAACTCTGTCCTTGACTGTGTGTCACCATGCATGTCTACCTGCCTGCACAACTCTGTCCTTGACTGTGTGTCACAGTGCATGTGTCTACCTGCCTGCTTGACTGTGTGTCACCATGCATGTGCCTACCTGCCTGCACAACTGTGTCCTTGACTGTGTGTCACCGTGCATGTGTCTACCTGCCTGCACATGTGTGTGCCTGTACGTGTCCCTCTCCTCTCTTACCTTGGCGGGGGCATGGATCCAGATGGCAGGGTTGAACAGGATGTGGTCACACAGCTGCTTGAGCAGCAGGACGCCGTTCTGCAGGTTGCTGAGGTAACGGGCAAAGGCCAGCACGATGTCCAGCACGGACCGAGTCACATGCACCTTGGAAGACTACAGAGGAGGGAGGGAGGGAGGGAGGGAGGGAGGAGAGGATACATACAGAGAGAAAGGTGAATCAGGTCAACTCTCTGTCTAACAAGCCCACTGTCAGCTGTGACCTCTAAATGCAGCTAAGGGGGGAAAAAGCAATTAGGGCCTTAGATGTAAATGGACTTTTAGTGTCACCTATATACCGGACCACACACACGCGCGCACACAGACACAATCAACAAGCTACCAGATGTAGGGGCGTTTAGCACTGGTCTCAGAACAGACAAATGCAGTATGGAATTGGAGGCCACAGCACTGAGGCTGAAGGACAGACAGTTCAATATCTGTTCCTCTCTGATGTAATGGACAGAGTGCTGGGAAATCAGCCAGCCAGGATATTATCCACCTTTCAATTTCAGCACAGAACAGCAATTAGGTCAGGAGAGAGGAAGATTGCAGAGTGTGAATGTGTCTCTGGCGAGGGGTGGTGGTGTGTGGATCACGTCTCTCACCTTCTCCAGAGTGTAGCCGATGACCAGAAAGCCCTTGCAGGCCAGGACCTGCTCTTGCATAGCCACAGAGTTCTTCAGCAGCTCCATCACAAAGGACAGCAAAGTGCAACTGGAGAGAGAGAGAGAGAGAGAGAATGAGAGAGAGAGAACATATCCTATAGCTATTGTCTAATATAATGAGGGTGTCACCATTCTACCATTCTACCATGAGAACACATTCAGATAAAAGCCACAAAGCCATTATTGAGAACCTTACTCAAGGCCTAGGGGCACTAGTATTCAAAACCGGTATCCAGGTTTAGTGAGTAGGACAAGACAACATTATGCATGCCATTTGCGCTGCCATCATGCATGGTTGAATCCATTGAATTAACAAAACAACTTCTACTGAGTGAAATCAAAATACTCTAGACTGCAGGTGAGTTCAGCCCCACCAACAGAATGCAGTTTTTCCTTATCCCTGAAATCAATAGATGTTAGTTTGGAAAAAGAATGAACTGTTTTCTTATGTGAAAGGTAACGCTCCCTACAAGTGACATGGCTACATATGGATGTGTAGAGTATTTAAAATAATGTAATAAAGTCAATCAATCGATCGATCAATCAAAAGACAGTAGTCCACTACCAGACAGAGGTGTCCAGTTCATCGCTGGTGTGCTGGAGGTGATCCAGCTGTGCAAACAGGGGGAAGAGGACCTGCACTCCCCCGATGGAGTGGATGGCACTCTGAACAGAGTGGGTAACCACCGCCTTCACATCCTGAAGAAGTGAGGAATACATACACAATGATCAGGAGTAGAAATAGAGTGCAATACTTTTGAAGTGTGAAATACAGGAGAATCAGAACCCCATCAGAACCATATGGACTGTAGACCAAGGCTGTTTCTGCTTTTGTCTCATGTGGCAAACAATGCTGATTGGAGGCGGTGTCACATTTCTCCCTTGTACATCTGGTGTGGTGTTGAAAACACAGTATAACTCCTCTGAACATCTGTCTCCTTTACAGCACTATTACACCTGTCGCTAACGGTGATGGGCTGAGTGGCGGGATCGTTACCGTGACGATGAGTTAGTCTCCGAGGCGACATGGCTCAGGTGTCTAGTCTGTTTACCCTGATGAGGGTTTTGCTAAATGAGTTCCGTGGGTAGAATATTTTCGGTGTTTCTTATTGTCAGATCCCACAGTAGCAAAATCAGCTATTATGAGCAAGCCCTTTTCTCATGCGTTTACGGTTCGGTCTGCCATACTTCCTAAACAAGCCATTAGTCATTGTGAACACATATGTAGAGGACACTAACCTACACAGACATGTCCATGCATGTAAGACTGTAACAATGTGCTAACAAATACTGAGCATGTTGACCTAAATAGAGGGCGGGACCAAGGGATAATATAGGAAATTATTATTCTATAGGCAAGGGGGTCTGTGTGTGTGTGTGTGTGTGTGTGTGTGTGTGTGTGTGTGTGTGTGTGTGTGTGTGTGTGTGTGTGTGTGTGTGTGTGTGTGTGTACAAACATACAGGCTGCCTCAGAAAGACAAAGGAGCTCATGCGTTGACTGAACGCGCTGTGAGGCTCAGACAGAACTCAATTACAGTGAGAGAGAATTCAAAGTAATTAAATAAAAAGGACAGCTGTGTGTGTGTGTGTGTGTGTGTGTGTGTGTGTGTGTGTGTGTGTGTGTGTGTGTGTGGGCTGACAAGGTCTTCCTAATGTGCATTTAATCAGGCGTGCAGATGACCTTCTGTGATAAGGAAAGTAAAATGTGGATTTTGAATGAGAGAAAGATGTTTCTGAGGCACTTTCATTACAATACTTGTCATCTAGTTGTTGCTACCTAGAATTGACATGGTAACAAGTAGCCACCAGAACATTAACTCATCATCCTCAGTAACTACAAGGTCAAATAAAGTACTGTATAATATAATAAAGTGCTTAAAGAAAAAACTCTCAGGAAACACCACCTTGGTTCAATAAAGAAACGACTGCTATGCAGATCTAATTCTGTAATAGAACAGGGTAGTGTTCTGTTCCCAGCCTGCTAGCCAGCCAGGTGCAGTGTGGTTCTGTCAAGTCATTCTCACCTCTATCTTAAAGGAAAAATCCACCCAAACCCACTCATTCCTTTAATTCAGTATTAAATAACACTAATATGTGAGAACAATATTTTTTGTGAACAAATGTTTCATTTTGGTGTTATAATAAGGTTGGTAAAACATGGAAAATCGTTATGGAAATCTGACATGTATGATAGACGTTTTCGTGATCTAAAAGTCGTATTCCTATTCACTTCCAGTGTAGTGAGAGCGACTTTATCACAGTGCTACGTCATAGCGGCCGGATTTCTGCCTGCTTGAACGCCAATAACTCAGATACACATGAAAACATGAAATGACCCAGGGAATCGATAGAACATCACTCAGAGGTTCACAAAAACAATATAACATTCAAAATGGGTGAACCTTTCCTTTAATGAGACACTTATGAAGTAGATAGAGCCTGATGGAGGTGCTTCATTATCTGTGTGTGTGTGTGGGGGTGTGTGTGTGTGTGTGTGTGTGTGTGGGTGTTGGTTCTTCTATACTTGTGGGGACCTAAAATCCCCAAAAGTCCCCACAAGGACAGTAAAACAAGGAAAATTCTCCCTCGTGGGGACTTTTCCCACGTCGCCATGAGGACAAAGGCTATTTTAAGCTTAGCGGTTAGGTTTAGGGTAAGGAATTAGGGTTTAAGGTTTGGGTTACGGGTTAGGGTTAAGGTTAAGGTTAAGGTTAGGGGTCAGAGAAAATAGGATTTTGAATGGAAATAAATGTTAGGTCCCCATGAGGTGTGTGGAACAAGTGGCTGAAGCACCTGAGTAAGGGATAAGAATAGCCTGTGTGTGTGTTTGTGTGTGTGTGCGTTTATGTCTGCGTCTGTGTGTGTCCGTACCTGCAGCATGAGTGCATGTGGCGAGTGGACAAAGATGGAGGCGTTATCCTTGGGGGAGGACTCCAGGCACAGCTGAGCGTCGGTGGCGCGGGGGTTGTAGGAGAAGGAGATGCAGGAGGACAGCTTGCCGTCGTATAGCAGGGTTTTGTGGTGCTCAGCAAACAGGAGGTCACTCTCAGCCTTGTACTTGAACGTGCCCTGAGAGAGACGGCAGAGAGAAAGTGGAGAGGTCAAATCAATTAACAGGAAGGAGTGACTTTCTTATACGTGTATATTTTTCTGTTCAGTTTAAACATTACACACTACTAGTGATAGTCTGTAGTATATATATTTTTTAAATAATCCATGATATGAGAAAGAAGGAAGATAAATAAATGTTTCACCTCAAATTGATGAGTGCAGACCTTCCTTTTTTGATATATGGGGTATCCAAATGGCATGGCATTTTGGAGTAGTGTGACTACTGAATACTGCATGACGACTGGGCTTTGCGTCTCCCTACCTTGTAACCAGGCCCCAGCTGGTAGATGGCTGGGCTTTGCGTCTCCCTACCTTGTAACCAGGCCCCAATTTTTCCCTTGGGGGGGAACCCCCCCCTTTTTTTCCCACCCCGTTCGGGGGGGTTTTGAAAAGGAACCAAAAGGCCCCTAAAAGGGGCAAGGGGGGGGAAGGTTTTCCGGGGAAGGAATTTTTAAGGTTTTTTCGTTGTTTTAAAATTGTGAGGTCGAGAATAATTTTAAATAATTGTAGGAAAAAGGGGTAAAAAATGAAACCCTAAAGGATAGGAAGCCTTCCTTTTTGATAAGGGGATCCAAATTTAAATTTGGAAGTTTTTGTGATTTAAAAATTTTGACGCGGGTTTCCCTTTTTCCCCCAAAACCACCCCCCCGCTGGTGTGGGGGGGGTTTGGGGGCGTTTTCCTCCTTGTCCGCCCAAGGGTGTTGATGGGCTTTTTTTTTGAAAAAAAGGGGCCCCACTGGGATGACGGGTTTTGCGTCTCCCTCCCTTGTAACAGGCCCCAGCGGGTGTGATACGGGGTTTTGGTCCCCCAGTAACCAGGGCCCAGCTGGTAGATGACTGGGCTTTGCGTCTCCCTACCTTGGTAAACCAGGCCCCACTGGTAGATGACTGGGCTTTTGCGTCTCCCCTACCTTGTAACCCAGGCCCCAGCTGGTAGATGACTGGGCTTTGCGTCTCCCTACCCTGTAACCAGGCCCCAGCTGGTATATGACTGGGCTTTTGCGTCTCCCTACCTTGTAACCAGGCCCCAGCTTGGTAGATGACTGGGCTTTGCGTCTCCCTACCTTGTAACCAGGCCCCAGCTGGTAGATGACTGGGCTTTGCGTCTCCCTACCTTGTAACCAGGCCCCAGCTGGTAGATGACTGGGCTTTGCGTCTCCCTACCTTGTAACCAGGCCCCAGCTGGTAGATGACTGGGCTTTGCTCTCCCTACCTTGTAACCAGGCCCCAGCTGGTAGATGACTGGGCTTTGCGTCTCCCTACCTTGTAACCAGGCCCCAGCTGGTAGATGACTGGGCTTTGCGTCTCCCTACCTTGTAACCAGGCCCCAGCTGGTAGATGACTGGGCTTTGCGTCTCCCTACCTTGTAACCAGGCCCCCACTGGTAATGAGGGTTTGCGCCCCCCCTCCTTGAAACCAGGCCCAGCGGTAGAGACTGGGCTTGCGTCTCCCACTTGTAACCAGGCCCCCCTGGAGAGGGAGGGGCTTTCCCGTCTCCCTACCTTGAACCAGGGCCCCAGTGGTAGATGAGGGGGCTTTGCGTTCCCCTCCCTTGTAAAGGCCCCAGGGGTGGATGATGGGTTTTGGTCTCCTACCTTGTAACCACCCCCCAGCTGGTAGATGACGGGTTTTTGCGTTCCCTACCTGGAACCGGCCCCAGCTGGAGAACTGGGCTTTCGTCTCCCCTCCCTTGTACCAGGCCCCAGTGGTAGTGAGGGTTTTTGCTCCCCTATTTTAACCGGCCCCCGGGGTAGAGTGGGTTTGGTTCCTACCTTTAACCAGGCCCCAGTGGTAGATGACTGGGCTTTGCGCTCCAAAACCTTGTAACCACCCCCCAGTGGTAGATACTGGTTTTTCGGTCTCCCCTACCTTTGTAACCAGGCCCCAGCGGAATGATGGTTTTGCTTTCCCACCTTTGAACCAGGCCCCAGCTGGTAAAACTGGGTTTTGCTTCCCTACCTGGAACGGCCCCGCTGGTAATGACTGGGTTTGGTTCCCTCCCTTGTAACCGGGCCCCCGGGGGTGATGACTGGGCTTTGGTCTCCCTACCTTGTCCAGGCCCCCCAGTGGTGATGAGGGGGGTTTTCGTCTCCCTCCCTTTTGAACCGGGGCCCCCTGGTAGAGAGCTTTGCTCTCCCTATTTTAAACCCAGGCCCCAGCTGGTAGATGACTGGGCTTTGCTCTCCCTACCTTGTAACCGGGCCCCAGTGGAAATGACGGGGGGCTTTGCGTTCCTACCTTGAAACCGGGCCCCGCTGGTAGGATGGGCTTTCCTTTTCCTTGTAACCAGGCCCCAGCTGGTAGATGGCAAGAATCTGTGCTGCACTGAGGGCCTCGCCAAACAGATACACCGCCCCCATCTGACCACAGAACACACGGTTGGCGTCCGCCGTCTCTGACGAACCAAGGAAACACTTGTCGAAAGTCTGGAGGAAGGGAGGAAGGAAGGAAACAAGGAAGGAGAATTGAACAAGCATTAATAAAGATAACTATGACAACTCCAACAGCATGTCTGAGTGTGAATCAACGCACCATCGGCATACAGATAACATACATTTCTATGAATCTGTTCCCTTCTGTATGTTCACTAGAGCATGTGTAAATAGGCTGGGGATGAGTGTAGCACTGTTATCAAGGAGGGAGGAGAGATATCTTAATCAGCCATATCTACTGTAGGGTATCGAGGCCCTCTGTGACACTGTCACGCCAAGAGCATTGCATTAGAAAAGCATCTTCATTTGGCTAAAAGCTGACATGTGAATCTTGTCTTCCGCACGAGAGAGAGAAAAAGCATTCTGGAGAAATATGACAGAATCTCATATATGCTTGGAGGTAGGCGTGTGTGTGTGTGTGTGTGTGTGTGTGTGTGTGTGTGTGTGTGTGTGTGTGTGTGTGTGTGTGTGTGTGCGCGTCTTCAACTACACAACTCATGCAACTCATTTCCCTCCCCTGTTACAGACCCAGTTCCATCCATGTGAAGAGACAGAGAGAGACAGAGAGAGAGACAGAGGCAGAGAGAGACAAAGAGAGAGACAGAGAGAGAGAGACAGAGAGAGAGAGAGAGACAGAGAGAGAGAGAGACAGAGGCAGAGAGAGACAAAGAGAGAGGCAGAGAGAGACAAAGAGAGAGGCAGAGAGAGACAGAGAGAGAGAGAGACAGAGAGAGAGAGAGACAGAGAGAGAGACAGAGGCAGAGAGAGACAAAGAGAGAGACAGAGGCAGAGAGAGACAAAGAGAGAGGCAGAGAGAGACAGAGGCAGAGAGAGACAGAGGCAGAGAGAGACAGAGGCAGAGAGAGACAGAGAGAGACAGAAAGGCAGAGAGACAGAAAGGCAGAGAGAGACAGAGACAGAAAGAGGCAGAGAGATAAAGAGAGTGGTTTCACCCCTGAGCCCTCTGTCAGCTGAGACAGTGATTATATCAATCAATCAGAGAGAGTGGGGCCTGTGGGGAGGTGCTGTCCTCTTCTAACATCCTGTACTGCAGTAACAATGGTTCTCTGTGGTACATCAATCACAACATATACCATACGTCTTTGTGTGGAACCTTTGTTATCCTAACCAAAATGGTTCAAATTGAAGAATTCTGGATGGATAGCTTCAAGGCTTTCTTGCTGATTGATTGATGACTTCAGAGACATTTTATGATTGATGACTGCCATCCCAAAATACTTTTGGTTATACACATGCAGGCATTCATCCAACCACAACCACTATCACAACTTGTAGGTTCAGCTATATTCCATTACACAGCATACAGGGGTAGGAATGGTTGTGTGAGAGTAGAGGTTTAAGGTTGCTACAGGAATAACATTATAACAACGATGATCAGTATAGTATGGATCGATTGATTGCTACTTACGTCGCTGGTGTTGACGAACCAGGTGATTTCTCCGTAGGAGGCGAGCTCTCCGTTGACGTAGCAGCTGATCTCACTGTTCTTCCAGCGGTTGTAGACATGAACGATGGTCACCATGTACCACTGAAACAACAACACACAACAACTTAACCACCATGGTATCAATGTACCACTGAAACAACAACATCTTAACCACAGCACTAGAATGAGATTATATTTCTATGGACCTAACACCCTAAACACCTCACCAGTTTCACATGTTGTTATTTTTCTATAATGTTTTCAATTATAATTTAATTTACAACAATGGTAATGATGTTATTAACAAGGTACAGTTGAAGTCGGAAGTTTACATACACCTTAGCCAAATACATCTCAACTCAGTTTTTCACAATTCCTGACATTTAATCCTAGTATAAATTCCCTGTCTTAGGTCAGTTAGGATCACCACTTTATTTTAAGAATGTGAAATGTCAGAATAATAATAGAGAGAATGATTTATTTCAGATTTGATTTCTTTCATCACATTCCCAGTGGGTCAGAAGTTGACATACACTCAATTAGTATTTGGTAGCATTGCCTTTAAATTGTTTAACTTGGGTCAAACGTTTCGGGTAGCCTTCCACAAGCTTCCCACAATAAGTTGGGTGAATAATGGCCCATTCCTCCTGACAGAGCTGGTGTAACTGAGTCAGGTTTGTAGGCCTCCTTGCCTTTTCAGTTCTGCCCACACATTTTCTATAGGATTGAGGTCAGGGCTTTGTGATGGCCACTCTTTGTGGTCCTTAAGCCATAACTTTGGAAGTATGCTTGGGGTCATTGTCTATTTGGAAGACCCATTTGCGACCAAGCTTTAACTTCCTGACTGATGTCTTGAGATGTTGCTTCAATATATCCACATAATTTTCCTTCCTCATGATGCCATCTATTTTGTGAAGTGCACCAGTCCCTCCTGCAGCAAAGCACCCCCACAGCATGATGCTGCCACCCCTGTACTTCACGGTTGGGATGGTGTTCTTCGGCTTGCAAGCATCCCCCTTTTTCCTCCAAACATAACGATGGTCATTATGGCCAAACAGTTCTATTTTTGTTTCATCAGACCAGAGGACATTTCTCCAAAAAGTACGATCTTTGTCCCCATGTGCAGTTGCAAACCGTAGTCTGGCTTTTTTATGGCGGTTTTGGAGCAGTGGCTTCTTCCTTGCTGAGCAGCCTTTCAGGTTATGTCGATATAGGACTAGTTTTTACTGTGGATATAGATACTTTTGTACCTGTTTCCTCCAGCATCTTCACAAGGTCCTTTGCTGTTGTTCTGGGATTGATTTGCACTTTTTGCACCAAAGTACGTTAGCGGAATGACGGCTGCGTGGTCCCATGGTGTTTATACTTGCGTACTATTGTTTGTACAGATGAACGTGGTACCTTCAGGCGTTTGGAAATTGCTACCAATCCACACTTGTGGAGGTCTACAATTCTATTTCTGAGATCTTGGCTGATTTCTTTTGATTTTCCCATGATCTCAAGCAAAGAGGCACTGAGATTGAAGGTAGGCCTTGAAATACAACCACAGGTACACCTCCAATTGACTCAAATGATGTCAATTAGCCTATCAGAAGCTTCTAAAGCCATGACATCATTGTCTGGAATTTTCCAAGCTGTTTAAAGGCACAGTCAACTTAGTGTATGTAAACTTCTGACCCACTGGAATTGTGATACAGTGAATTATAAGTGAAATAATCGATCTGTAAACAATTGTTGGAAAAATTACTTGTGTCATGATCAAAGTAGACGTCCTAACCGACTTGCTAAAACTATAGCTTGTTAACAAGACATTTGTGGAGTGGTTGAAAAACAAGTTTTAATGACTCCTACCTAAGTGTATGTAAACTGCCTACCAACTGCAAACGAGCAAAAAAGCATTGGCCAGCCTTCATCTTAGCCTCATTCCTAGCTGCCTTCACTGAGTTACCCTTATGAGACATGGGGGCGATCAACTCCTAAACCCCTTGGGCTACAATCCCACCTACATTGGCTGCTCAGATTTCACATGGGAAGAATCCAGTGAAATAGGTTATTAGAGTTACCAGGCAGACACCTTGGGAGATAAGACCGATCGTGGAATACAGGGAGCTAAAAATAGAGGCCAAACATATCAGAATGAGGTTTTGAGTCTGAGTAGTGGGGGATAACAGGGGAGTTTTAATTGGCCAGGGGCACCATGGATCTCACCGATGCTGTTGGGCTTGACTGGGTCTGGGTGCTATGGTCTGGCTGTGTGTCGGGCCCCATTAGATCATCCCCATCTCCCTTTCTCTCAATCCTTCTATCCTTTTTTCACCGTTCTGTTCTGACATTGCTGGCCCCCCAGAGGAAGGACCAGATGACTATGCCTCATCCCAAAAGGTCTAGACGAGGGGGCAGCATGTGTCCTATGCCTGCGTACAGTTTGTTCTCTGTGTGTCCTATGCGAAAGAGAACATGTCTGTGTGTCCTATTTAGTACGTGTTTCTATGTTTTATGAGTGCTAGGTTTGTGTGTGTCTCTCCCACAGGACAGTGTCTGTCTGCCTGCCAGCCTCGCCGGCTGCCTACCTTCTGCGGTTTGAAGTCATATTTCACGCAGTGCTGGAATCCCTTCCCATTGGACTTTAACGAGGTCACAATCAAACAGCCGGCCACAAAGTGTGCTGAGTAGCCCAGACCTTTGTTGGTGCGGAAACTACAGGAAGAGAGGGAATAAAAACAAAAATAGAGAGAAATAAAAAAACAAATTTCAGTTAGTGAGCCTAACGGCTCACTTTAACACAGTCTAACACTCAAGGGCAGAGGAGGGTTTCAAGACGAGTCAACCTGCCAATAAATCATACAAACATACACATTTAAAAAACACTTTGAAAACGGAGGAGAGACAGAGATAGCGAAAGCCTCAATCATCTGTCAACTTCACAACAAATTCCCATTTGTGGGCGTCTGTGTTCTGAGCGAGCGGGGGCCCCGGCGGTCGCCGTGTGTGATTTAGTGAACTAATCTCTTTTTAAAAGGGCAGAGTCTGAAGTAGAGTTTTATTACAGACTTTTCTGCCTCTGCTTCTAGCTGCCTGGCTGGCTGGCTGCCTGGCTGGCTGTGTGTGGTTGGTTATCATTTTCAGAAGCCCCCAAACAGAAGGCCCACCAAATCCCGGCGCATAAATTAGAATTTTTTGTCAGAAATTAATTATCGGCTGAAAATAGGACGAGTGAGGCCCTGATTTACTGTCCCTGGGAGAGGGAGAGAGGAATGGATGTAGAGAGTAGAGATAGGGGGGATACGAAAAAGAGATAGAGAGAGAGGAGAGAGAGAGAGATATATAAGAGAAGAGAGAGGAGAGAGAGAGAGAGAGAGAGATGAGGGGAAGATACTGATGAGAGAGAGGTAAATGGAAACGGAGAGAGGGAGGCACTGCATCAGTATTCAGTATGCCTTCTTCATCTGGTAATGTGTGTGTGTGTGTGTGTGTGTGTGTGTGTGTGTGTGTGTGTGTGTGTGTCTATTAAGCCTCTGTGCTGGCTGTTTTTTTTATAGACTGTTTGGGGATATGACTTCATCCTACAATTTTGTTGAACAAGGAAAAAATCAAATAGCTTTGCTTGGCGTGCAAATACAGTACACACAAACCACACAAACACACACACACACACACACACACACAGGGAACTACGGTATGAGCCAAATTCTATTTGAATACACCTGAATAATATCACATTATCCATACAAAAGTTATGCATAGGTATCTCAAGTCAGGATATGAGTAGAGACGTTATTTGCATAGAGAAAGAACAAATCAAGCTGCAGTAAGTTGTGTCAGTGTGGGTGTATGAGATTGACTACGTTACAGTCAGTGGCTACAGACTGACTGATCTACAAATCATCATGATTAGTCATTTAGGATGCAAGGTGATTCATAGTCAGTCTGCAGTCGGCGAGTGCAGTGTAGTTGATCTCAAACATGGACGGTTGGTGTCTGGAACTCACCAGTACAGGTAAGGCTTGTCCTTGTCAACATTGATGTTGTTGATTGGATCCATGCGGAGCCAGGTGTGGAAGGTGAATCCATTCTGGTACGGCCATTTGGCTATAGGGGGCAGAGCTATAGCCTGTGAGGAGACAAACAGTTGAATGTTTTAAAAATAGGATTGTGAGTAGTGTGACCTAGACTACAGTAGGACCAAGAAGGAACAGATAGAAAACGTAGCTGTTCATGCGTGTGTGTGTGTCTACCCAGAGGCCTTCCTGCCTCATTAGCGAGATTCACAGGAAGGGGAAGGCGTGTGCTTAGTGCTCAGTCTCGGCTGCACACACACCAATCGCAGACGCTCTTAGGGCGGCCCTGAGCTCACCCTCACCAAAGGGCACCGTCACCATGGCAATGGGAGGGTACAAAGAGACATAACAGCACACACACACTCGCTACATACAATGTGAGTGTCCCCGACAGCCATTATAAGACACAATGGGAGCAGACTTTAACTCTCTTTCCCCTCTCTATAGTTAGCAGTCTAACCCAGGTACTGTACAGTCTTATCTAATGTTCCATGGCCACATGCAGGTGTAGACAGCATTCAGGTGAGACTAATTGAGAAAGTAGTGAAAGGTAAAGGTCCTAGACTGAGATACACAGTTCAAACGTAGCAGACATAAGTCTACGATGTCATCCTTCATGGAAACTCGGCAGACATTGCCTAAGATATGAGATCATAGCTTAGACTATATGTCTGATAAGTTTTCATCCTTCATTTCTTTGAAGACTTCAGCAAGAGCATCTTAACTGAGCTAACTTCACTAAATCCTCACTTTTAAACCCATTGACACCAGGAAGTGTATTAGAAATCTGCTCTATTTTAAGAGAAAGAGAGGGGTATAACAGAACATTCCCAGGGGACTTATACCTTATTCTTTCACTCACTAAATCACATGGCTGGCTGGCTGGCTGGCTGAATGGCTGGATAGATACAAAAATCAGCTTAGGGATTGCTGCTATGAGAAGGAAGGGGTCAGAAGGAGTACGAAGATGGCTAGGAGCATTAGAATGAAGGGAGGAGATGGAGAACAGAGGGAAGATGGCTAGGAGCATTAGAATGAAGGGAGGAGATGGAGAACAGAGGGAAGATGGCTAGGAGCATTAGAATGAAGGGAGGAGATGGAGAACAGAGGGAAGATAGCTAGGAGCATTAGAATGAAGGGAGGAGATGGAGAACAGAGGGAAGATGGCTAGGAGCATTAGAATGAAGGGAGGAGATAGAGAACAGAGGGAAGATGGCTAGGAGCATTAGAATGAAGGGAGGAGATAGAGAACAGAGGGAAGATGGCTAGGAGCATTAGAATGAAGGGAGGAGATGGAGAACAGAGGGAAGATGGCTAGGAGCATTAGAAATGAAGGGAGGAGATGCAGAACAGAGGGAAGATGGCTAGGAGCATTAGAATGAAGGGAGGAGATAGAGAACAGAGGGAAGATGGCTAGGAGCATTAGAATGAAGGGAGGAGATGGAGAACAGAGGGAAGATGGCTAGGAGCATTAGAATGAAGGGAGGAGATGGAGAACAGAGGGAAGATGGCTAGGAGCATTAGAATGAAGGGAGGAGATGGAGAACAGAGGGAAGATGGCTAGGAACATTAGAATGAAGGGAGGAGATGGAGAACAGAGGGAAGATGGCTAGCAGCATTAGAATGAAGGGAGGAGATGGAGAACAGAGGGAAGATGGCTAGGAGCATTAGAATGAAGGGAGGAGATGGAGAACAGAGGGAAGATGGCTAGGAGCATTAGCTAGCATCTGTGCTCCTCCTCTCTTCCCATGCTGCTTATTCAACGCACACACAGTAGTCCAGTATGACCCATGCTATATATGGTTGGTAAACCTTGGCATTAAAGGATATAGAAGCGAAGATGTGTGCTGGGTCAGAGCTTACAGGCAATTCATGATGCATTATCTTAGTCATTCCTAATGCTTACAGCCTTGGATCATGTGGGAAGTCAAGCACAAGAGGATTTAACCCATTAAGAACCTATCCAGAGGTTCTGTAAATACTATTATCTTACTGTAGATACTCAGTGTCCACCGAGACTGATACCAGTCACTAAAAGTCTGAAATGACACTATCCCTTACATCGTGCGCTACTTGACCAGAGCCTAGGGGAATACAGTGTCATATCAGGTGTAGCATCAGATTCTAGTCTAGTTGGGTAGTGTGTACTATACTGTATTCTAATGATCAGTCTGGGATCCAGGTTAACATGTGGAGGTGTATTGAGTTGTAACTGTACTCACAGCAGCGCTCTTCCCTGGGAAGCTGAAGAAGGAGTCAGGTCCGTTCCGGTGGGCCATGCTCTTCAGGACAGACAGCAGCTTCACCGCATGGGGAGGCTGGAGGGAAGAACACACACACAAGATGAGACGCCATAGACTTTGATAAGGGTGCACTGCATACACAAGTACACACATAAACACACACACTCAAATGTACAGCTATATGTTCAAGTTCACAGGCAAGCGAAAAAACACCAACATCATCACAACTACAGTGTGTCAAGGTCAGCCACGTGTCTATTTTCTGCTTTTCTATATTAACCTCTACTAGCCATCAAGCCAACTTCTTGTTGAGACATTAGTGAGAATGCAGTAGTTCTAAGAAACAGCAGCGGTTGTCTTGCTGTTCTACATTCCAGTCACCCGCTTCAGATCAGATCCCCCTTCCTTTCAACCCAAATGTCAATCAAAACCCACGGAACCGCGATCAACGTTGATAAACTTCCATAATATATTGATGAGCTTTTCTTTTCCGACAAGGCCTCGTCGGTTTAATTTCTGTGGAGGCTGCAATACGCATATTACACTGTGTTCACTCTGCTCAAATCCTGTGATGGAGAGGCTTCTGATAGACGCATCATCTCGTCAACCCCCTAAGATAATATTTCAAAGAGCTAGCATTGTGTGTGTGTGTGTGTGTGTGTTAAGGGGGGGGTGGACGGAAACAGAGAAGCACAAAAGCAGCTTGCCCCCATTTCCTTGACAACTTGATTCCACACTGATCAATGGGCTTCCCAATCCCATCCCTCTCTCCTTCTGTCCGAATGGTGCAGGACTCCGTGGATAATACATTATATACACTCATATTCATGGTACTACAGCCTACTAGATCTGCTGTTTTTACACAAGGGCTATTCCCACTGTACTGTAATGACTCCACACTGCTAGGCAAGACTGTCCAGGCTGATTTCCCACTGTACTGTAATGACTCCACACTGCTAGGCAAGACTGTCCAGGCTGATTTCCCACTGTACTGTAATGACTCCACACTGCTAGGCAAGACTGTCCAGGCTGATTTCCCACTGTACTGTAATGACTCCACACTGCTAGGCAAGACTGTCCAGGCTGATTTCCCACTGTACTGTAATGACTCCACACTGCTAGGCAAGACTGTTCAGGCTGATTTCCCACTGTACTGTAATGACTCCACACTGCTAGGCAAGACTGTCCAGGCTGATTTCCCACTGTACTGTAATGACTCCACACTGCTAGGCAAGACTGTCCAGGCTGATTTCCCACTGTACTGTAATGACTCCACACTGCTAGGCAAGACTGTCCAGGCTGACTTGGTGGAAAACCACAAAACCCAGGTTGGAAAACAAATTCCTCTTCCACTTTATAACCACTAATGTATCTTATGTATAGATATTATCTTTAACTAATGATAGGATAGTACTATTAATGTTCAGCCAACTGTTAAATGTGTGTGATGTAATCCCAAACACTGATCTAAGATCAGTTTACCCTCTCCTTAATCGTAACCTTACCCAGTAGAAGGTAGAATGATAAAACTGGGGTCATAATCAGTGCTAAGAGGCAACTTCCTCCTCAAGTTATTACACATTAATAATGCAGTCATGTTTTTTGGATTAGCCCAATAGACAGCGATGGTGTGTCTGTACTACACAGTGTGATGTATGGTTCCAGAGTACAGAGAGGGTAAAAGGATGTGTACAGGTTACCAGTTGAAGTGTTGCTAGCACATTCCCCATGCTCTCTACAAGACAAATATGACAGGGCGGTACGGTATGAAGGTTAGACTAGCTGTGTTACCCATTGGCCTTTCTCTCCTTGTAGTTTGCTGAAGAACAGCTTCAGCTCCTTGACTGTGATGCTGTAGCTGGCCAGCACTCCTAGCATGTCCACCATCAGGTCTGGAAGACGGAAACACACACAGGTTAAACATACAGTAGTACACACACACACACACACAGGTTAAACATACAGGTTAAATATGACATATGTGAAGAGGGGAAGCTGACAAGTTACCACACCCTAACAATAGGCTAGAACAGAGGTTGTCAAGTTAACACACCCTAACAATAGGCTAGAACAGAGGTTGTCAAGTTACCACACCCTAACAATAGGCTGGAACAAAGGTTGTCAAGTTACCAAACCCTAAACAATAGGCTAGAACAGAGGTTGTCAAGTTACCACACCCTAACAATAGGCTAGAACAGAGGTTGTCAAGTTACCACACCCTAACAATAGGCTAGAACAGAGGTTGTCAAGTTACCACACCCTAACAATAGGCTAGAACAGAGGTTGTCAAGTTACCCACCTAACACTAGGCTAGACAAGAGGTTGTCAAGTACCAACCCTAAGTATGGCTAAGAAAGGATGTCACATACAAACCCTAAAATGGCTTTACTGTAACATTGTAATTCGTACCAACAACCCTAACAATGCTGAACAGAGTTTCAATTAACACTTCATACTAAGACGACATCGAACTTAAATCAATATACAATTTGAAATACAAGTCAAGTATCATTTACAACCTAACATAGGCTAGAACAGAGTGTCAAGTTCCCACCCCAACAATTAGAAAGGGTTGTCATTTACCCACACCACAACATAGGTGAAGGGTTTGTCAGTATTCCAACCTAAAAGTCAACCAGGTTGTCAATTACCTAAACCCTAACAATAGCCTGAACAGGTTGTCAAATCAACCATTACCAATGCCATGAGGGTTTTCATTCAGTAACAAATGTTATACCAAACTTGAATACACACACCCAGAGAAGAACGGTCTGAATCACAGCCTTGCCTTCCACACAACAGTCTATTGATTGATTACAAATATACCAAAAATACTTCATACTAAAGAGGACATCGAAAAACACTTAAATCAGATATTCAGCATTTAAAATACTATCCAAATCAAATAGTATTTTGCACATGTTATCGCGGATGTATCGAAATGCTATCCCATTCCCCATCCATGTGCATTGACTAGTGGCTTATATTTCCCAATATTCCCCATCACAATGGGAGATAAGTGTATGGGCCTTTTCCTGTGCAGTATTACAGCAGTAATAGAGTTCAAACCCATGTGTGCTGCTGTAGAGCCTGTATGAAACCAGCCACTCTCCCCCTGGCCTTCAGCCTACAATCAGACACATTACTGGCTAATGCCATGGAGGGCCATTTTCATCTCAGTGAACAGAGAAAGATGTTCTATAGCCTCCCAGAGTGACCTGGAGCATCAGAGGACAGACACACACCAGCCATGGAAGGAGAGGGAGAGAGGCCGTCTGATCTAACAGCCTAATGCCCGTTTCACACAACTGAGCCAAGCCGAGTCAAACCATACTGCAATGGCCTGGTTATACCATTATTGCCGGAGCCGTGCTGAAAGGACGATGTGAAAAGAAAATATCAGAGCAAGTGCAGTCGGTTCGGGTCAGCACATTAGTGTAAAAAATTTTTCTTTGTCTGTCTGTCTGGCCAGGACTACATGTTCATGTTCCCTGGGTTTGTCTGTCTGTCTGGCCTGGCCTGCATGTTCCCTGGGTTTGTCTGTCTGGCCTGCATGTTCATGTCCCCTGGGTTTGTCTGTCTGGCCTGCATGTTCATGTCTCCTGGGTTTGTCTGTCTGGCCTGCATGTTCATGTCCCCTGGGTTTGTCTGTCTGGCCTGCATGTTCATGTCCCCTGGGTTTGTCTGTCTGGCCTGCATGTTCATGTTCCCTGGGTTTGTCTGTCTGTCTGGCCTGGCCTGCATGTTCATGTTCCCTGGGTTTGTCTGTCTGGCCTGCATGTTCATGTTCCCTGGGCTAATGGAGGTTTCATTTTGCTAATGATGATCATCCTGCTCTGCCAGGCCAGTCATTGCGCTTAAGAAGAGTTATTTGTCTCATTAGTAACTGGGTGAGAGACTGGTGAGTGATTGAGGCTGGTGATTGTGTCTACTGACTGGTGTGTGAGTCACTACTCTGACTGGGCAGTGGGTTAGTGGGAGGCTGAGTGGTGTTGTCAGGTCTGCACACGCTCCTAATCTAATGATGGTGATGATCATGATGTGTGTGTGTGTGTGTGTGTGTGTGTGTGTGTGTGTGTGTGTGTGTGTGTGTGTGTGTCCGGCCACTGGATAATGATTCTGACTGAGACAATCATCCACACTCATTACTCTGGAGTGAAATGACTTTGGCCTCTGGTGTTACTGTGGCAGTACCTGCGATCATGCTGTCAGTGTGGGCCACGCGGTCCAGGACCAAGTTAATGAGGGCTGTGTCGGTGCAGGCCTGCAGGTTCCTCACGCTCTTCTTCAGGATAGCCGTGAAGATGCTCCACACCTCCGCCTGGCACGTGGGTTCACACTGGGAATCACAGCCATAATAATAATCATTGATCAGATTTATAAAGCAATTTGCCAGATGCTCAAAGAGCTTTACAATCATTCACCGCCAACATGTATCCATAGAAATAGGCATAGAATTACTAGAAAGGGGATCCCCATTCAAGTCAATTGAGACTATGATGGGTGGACTGGAAGAAAATCTATTTCTACAGTGAGGGAAAAAAAGTATTTGATCCCCTGCTGATTTTTGTTGTTTGCCCACTGACAAATTAATGATCAGTCTATAATTTTAATGGTATGTTTATTTGAACAGTGAGAGACAGAATAACAACAACAAAATCCAGAAAAACGCATGTCAAAAATGTTATAAATTGATTTGCATTTTTGTTGTTTGCCCACTGACAAATTAATGATCAGTCTATAATTTTAATGGTATGTTTATTTGAACAGTGAGAGACAGAATAACAACAACAAAATCCAGAAAAACGCATGTCAAAAATGTTATAAATTGATTTGCATTTTAATGAGGGAAATAAGTATTTGACCCCCTCTCAATCAGAAAGATTTCTGGCTCCCAGGTGTCTTTTATACAGGTAACGAGCTGAGATTAGGAGCACACTCTTAAAGGGAGTGCTCCTAATCTCAGCTTGTTACCTGTATAAAAGACACCTGTCCACAGAAGCAATCAATCAATCAATCAGATTCCAAACTCTCCACCATGGCCAAGACCAAAGAGCACTCCAAGGATGTCAGGGACAAGATTGTAGACCTACATAAGGCTGGAATGGGCTACAAGACCATCGCCAAGCAGCAAGACCATCCCTCGGCCTGGGGCTCCATGCAAGATCTCACCTCGTGGAGTTGCAATGATCATGAGAACGGTGAGGAATCAGCCCAGAACTACACGGGAGGATCTTGTCAATGATCTCAAGGGGGTGTTTTTCTGCTAAGGGGACAGGACAACTTCACCGCATCAAAGGGACGATGGACGGGGCCATGTACCATCAAATCTTGGGTGAGAACCTCCTTCCCTCAGCCAGGGCATTGAAAATGGGTCGTGGATGGGTATTCCAGCATGACAATGACCCAAAACACACGGCCAAGGCAACAAAGGAGTGGCTCAAGAAGAAGCACATTAAGGTCCTGGAGTGGCCTAGCCAGTCTCCAGACCTTAATTCCATAGAAAATCTGTGGAGGGAGCTGAAGGTTCGAGTTGCCAAACGTCAGCCTCGAAACCTTAATGACTTGGAGAAGATCTGCAAAGAGGAGTGGGACAAAATCCCTCCTGAGATGTGTGCAAACCTGGTGGCCAACTACAAGAAATGTCTGACCTCTGTGATTGCCAACAAGGGTTTTGCCACCAAGTACTAAGTCATGTTTTGCAGAGGGATCAAATACTTATTTCCTCATTAAAATGCAAATCAATTTATAACATTTTTTACATGCGTTTTTCTGGATTTTTTTTTTGTTATTCTGTCTCTCACTGTTCAAATAAACCTACCATTAAAATGATAGACTGATCATGTCTTTGTCAGTGGGCAAACGTACAAAATCAGCAGGGGATAAAATACTTTTTTCCCCTCACTGTAAGTGTGTATCTCTATGTGTGTCCTCCCACAACTCATCCAACATACTCCCTAGATGATATTATAAATATTGTTCTATTTAATCCTGTGTGTGTAGCACCCACCTTGTCCAGCAGCTCCACCATGCACACGATGCTGTCCTGCTCCTGGATAATGAAGTTCATCTCCAGGTCAAACTGGCCACCCACCAACTAGAGAGAGAGAGAGGAGGGTAAGATAGAGAATGAGAGAGAGCGAATGAGAGAGAGTGAGAGAGAGAGAATAAGAGAATGAGAGAGAGAGAAAGAGTGAGAAAGAGAGAGAATTAGAGAGAGAGAGAGAGAGAGAGATGAGAGTGAGTGAGAATGAGAGTGAGTGAGAAAGAGAGAGAGAGAATGAGAGTGAGTGAGAAGAGAGAGAGAGAGAGAGAGAGAGAGAGATAGAGAGAGAGAGAGAGGAGAGAGAGAGAGAGGAGAGAGAGAGAGAGAGAGAGAATGAGAGTGAGAAAGAGAGAGAATGAGAGAGAATTTGTAAACCTATGCAATTCAAAAGCACAGAGTCAAAAACAACATCTCTAATGGAATTGGATTAGCATATGCCACAGAGCTTTTCCCTCACACCTATTTATGTCCTTTTTTAGGACATAAAACCCCTGGCACAGATTCCTGGGCCACATCATCTGCATAACCAAATCCATCGACCAAGCCGGACGGTGTATTTCTAAACATCTCCTCCTCTGTGGATCAGGCCTGCTGGACAACTAGATTAGAGGCCTGGGTTGAGTTTAATTCCAAGAAGATTTCCTCTTCCACCTAGCTTCTATCATACTGCTGTTACCTATCCAATCCAGTTGACGTAGATGTGTACAAGGATATGAACAATGTAGCAGGCTGGGTTTCAATACAGAAAGATGCTCCCCTCCCCTCGGCCCTATTTCACCTCAATTCTGTCATATTCTGGAAAGACAAGTGAACAAGGGCACAGCGGAGGATAGTTATTCCTCCCTGAAATGAAACACATCCCGGATGATAAAACCCTGCCTGGACCTGAGCAGAGTATGTGAGCAGAGTTGAGCGGTTGGATATCTCGCTCATGGAATTCTAGGGTCCCGTGTAGCTCAGTTGGTAGAGCATGGCGCTTGCAACGCCAGGGTTGTGGGTCGTTTCCCACGGGTGGCCAGTATGAAAATGTATGCACTCACTAACTAAGTCGCTCTGGATAAGAGCGTCTGCTAAATGACTAAAATGTCAAATGTAATGGAGACCGCTCCGGCGCTCCACATCCTTTCCAACCGCTCCACTAAGAAACGCTTCTCACTCACAGGAGAAAAAAAACTGCCGCTCCAAATTCACTCCATTCATTAACATCACCATTTAACCAACACCCGTTTATTGTTGTGACTACCTGGACCTACCATTTGGTTTTGAAGTATTGAAACCAAACCATGTGATTTGAATGAACATTATTATAATAAACAACAAGAAAAGTTGACTGTAAGAAGCGCAGATCATGTCAAATAGGCTACATGTCATATTAAACAGCATATAAACACTATAAATAGGTCAGGAGCCAGACAGGGAGCCTAAGAAGGAAAAGTAATTATTTAGGCTATATTATTTCAATTATTTCAAGGCAATAGCCTACAAAGAAAAACATTTTGAAGCATTTGCGAGTGCGAAACACTAGGCTGGCAGGGACATTAAGCTATCAGCATTTAAACAACATTTTGTTGTATTAAATCATTATAGTCTATAAATTGCACATATAGGCTGTGACTTATGTAAAAGTAAATACAAATTCAACGAAAAATGCCTTATTAGGCTCAGTGCCTTGAATTCATTTTTAGAAACCCGAGTTTGGCCAGAGTCTGTGGCTTCAGGCTCATGCCATGGAGCCTGGAGAGCAGGCCAGCAGCGGAGAATACCCTCTCCACGCTTGCAGAGCCACTGGGGATGGTAAACACCCTTCGGGCCACCCTTGCCAGGCTGGGCAGGATGCGTCGTTTTTTTTCTGTAGGTAGGCCTTAAGGATTTTAGTTTAAATAATCCAATCAAAACAGAAAGCTCCTTGAAAGAGGTAATATGCCAGGCCTCTTGGGTCAAAATCAATGATGGCCTATTGTATAGATAATAGAATGAAAATGAACTAAACTTTTAAGAGATCTGATTTTTAGTTTACAAATACTTTGCTACAATGACACACTTAGCTAGCTACCCACCTCTTTCCTTTCTTTTAGCATGTGCACGTAGTAAGTACACAATCATGCTTTCGGGATACGTGTCTTTTCAGATTCCACAATGATTCTTTAGTTGTGGACACTACATCACCACACTCCCTCTCTTGGTCCTCATCTTTGTAAGTCACCTTCATTTAGCACCTGTGTGTTCTACCAGTTTCTTTATGAAAATATTTAGCGAACTCCATGACAGTAGCTAAAGCAAGGGGCTATAGTAGCACACTACAAATGCATGCTGGGCCGGGCATGCCCCGAGCCTGTGAAGTGAGCGCTACTGGAGCTATCCTGGAGCGAAATTGGAGCGGGCGAGAAGGCCTTTGGGAATCTCCCTCCGCACTCCAGTCAAACTGGGCACGCTCCGCTCCTCGCTCCACTCCGCTCACATCCTCTGGTCCTGAGTGAAATCCAGGCTGTAGTCCCTAGCCTCTTTCTGACCTCCGTACTACGCAGACAGACACAATGCAGCAGCAACACAACAGCAAAAGGGCTGGTTGGGGGAGAAGCCTATTTAGAGACTGACTTTAATCTTCTGGAGGTCATGGCAACAACTGGCGCTGGCAGACGTGACATCTTAGTCAGGATTACCCTCCAGCTATGATAACATAGAGACATCATACAGAACTGTCATCTAGGATATGATCAACTTCAGACTCTAGCTAATACTAAATGCACTTTTTCCCAGTTCCAATTCTATTAGTAGTAGTAGTTGTAGATACTGTATGTTATTTGTCCCGTATGGGAAATTGGATTGCAGCATATATAAAAAAAGAGATATTGCTTTCAAAGGATTAGGCCTATATAACGCAATGTATTTGTTGTAAATGCAATATTTGTAACGAGTACATTCAAAGAAAATAAAGACATATTTTATAGATAGCTGTTCCCTTAGGTGAGTTGTTTTGTCAGTTATGTGTTTCATGTTTGAAACCGTTGCTTTTTAATTTACCTTTCACGCATATTATTCATTTAATCTAGACGGTGCCAGTGTGTTGTGTTTCTCAGTTGCTGTTTGTGCACGCACACACACACACACACACTATGTGAAAACATGTTTTGCCTCCAAAAACATGAATCGTATTATTTCCACGCCAGCAGGATGTCAATGAATTTATCATGCTACCTTTAGCAGCATTATGGAAAAGGTTATCTACATGGGGGTTTGTGTGTGTGTGTGTGTGTGTGTGTGTTTGTGTTGCATGGGGGGGAGGGGGTCTGAGCCCTATAGCTAAGGAAGGAATAATGTTCTTTGTGTCTGGAGATATATTGTACAAGCTATAAATGTCATGATTTGTCATTTATTTAATAGTGGCGATGACATTTCTATGATTGAACCCTGCCTACTACAAAGTGATAAGAAGGAAAATAACACTGCACATGTCAAAATTAATATTGTAAGACGGGGCGCAAGGTGTTGAAGACAAGAAGGGCCTGTCACTGGACGGAAAGCAAAGAGGGATAGCCACCATTTGCTAGGAGACAGGCGGTGAGAAGACAATTTGATTGGGCTGAAATGATTTCCTCTAGCTGTGTTTGATGGGAACCTGTCCCATTAAAATGAGTCAAGCAGGATTAACACAAGGGGGGCTGAGGGGGAATCAGGGTAACCCCCTGTCACCATGGACTACCAAGCCAGGAGATAAAAGCAATGATAACAGACCGTGCCACTCCGACAAACACAAACACTCACATCATACGTCCAACGATCCCACACTATCAAACACACACACACACCAAACACATCATTTAGATAGAGCTTCTGTTCCACTCCATGACTCCTCAGAAGTAGGCTCTAAATTGTTTGTAAATCATTTGTTCATAAGAAAGTGATTGCTCCCTTCCATCCTCAACCCTCTCTTCCATTAGCTGTGATGTTCTTTCCTTCTTCCCTTCATTCCTCCCGTTGCAGTAGCTGATAAATCACACGGTCATGTCCTCGTCGACTGAATGGACGCCGGCCCAGTAATACATTTGCATTTTGGGGGGGCCCCCCACCCAGACGGCCCCGTGATTGCGTCGGGATTGTGTTAATGGATGTTTTCGACGGCGCTCGCCACGGTAACAGGTGATTTACGAGCCTGACACTCTGGGTGAGTCAGCCATCCGTCAGCGTCAGGTGACAGGGCATGGGAGAGAGGAGAGAGGAGGAGGGGGGGAGTCACGAGAGGGCAAGGCCACAGTGGCAGCACTGGCCTAGAGGGAGGTCAGTGGCAGACTGGCCGTAAAGCATTCTCGACACTTAGTTTACACTCACCCTGCGTGTGTGTGGTGTGTGTGTGCGGTGTACGAGAATCGTTTTAATTTACTAACTTCAGGGCAGGGTGCATCACTGAGGGGTTTTTAAAAGGATGAAAGCTCCAAGGTTGAGAGGTTGGGATGAGTGTATAATGGTTGAGAGGTTGGGATGAGTGTATAATGGTTGAGACCTTCACATGAAATGAGTGCCAGTGCATCTATATTAAAAGCAGCCGTGTGTGTGTACCGGGTGAGTTGTTAATGATGTTCTAGTAGGGTTAAAGCTGAAATAGAGACAGAGACAGTCAGAATGGAGTGATGAGACCCCCAAGAGGAGGAATTTGGGTGAATAAGCAGGTCTATCTACAAGAGAATGTACTAACCTAACCCAACCTCCGCTTTCTCAGGAATTTAACCAGACCTATCTGTATAGTACCATATATTATTGTTTTCAAAAAACAGGTCAGACAGTCATAGATAGTAAAACGTGTTTTAAACGGATAAGCTATTCATAAACCACAGAAGAGTAACGGCCTTCTATGAGCAAGTATTATGATCACTGACCACAATTCCACTTCCTTCCACTGAACACCACATAAAAAGATTTTGCACAAATTTAGTTTAATTAAGCAATAAGTCCCGAGGGGGTGTGGTATATGGCCAATATACCACAGCTAAAGGCTGTTCTTATGCACGGCGCAATGCGGAGTGCCTGGATACAGCCCTTAGCCGTGGTATATTGGTGATATACCACAAACCACTAAGGTGCCTTAATGCTATTATAAACTGGTTACCAATGTAATTAGAGCAGCAAAAATAAATGGTTGTCATACCCGTGGTATACGGTCTGATATACCACGGCTGTCAGACAAATCAGCATGCAGGGCTTGAACCACCCAGTTTATAATTAATAGTATAACCCACTCGCCTAACTTTGAAGTTACGCAAATTATACCGTGCCCATCTTAGAACAAAGTTTACTGAATTTATAAGTATTTCCTAATTACCATTAATATCTCACTGGCCTTCATATTTGCCCTTCCAGATAAAGCCTTATCATCCTCCAATGCGATGGGGAAGAAATATCCGTAAAGAAAGAATCTCAGCTATTTTTTGTTATATTATACTTAGCAGGGTTTTAATAGGCTTAATTTATAATGTTTAATCATCTTCTGGTGCCCGGCGTTTAATTGAGAAATGCCTACCTCATATCTCGCTGCTGATATTTGAGATTAGAGCTTAAATTATGGCAGTTTAGAATTCAAAATCAGTTATAAATTAATCTATGGGATGTAGCTTTGATTTAGATCAAGTTAAAAGTACTTTGACATTATTTGGATGTATGGACTGGCAAGAAACATTAAAATCAGAGCAAGCAGCCCACAGCAGAACTGTCACAGAAAATATTAGTTTACAAACTGAGCCTGAAGCAACAGAAAACCTCAGACTGATGAAAGTACTCCAATACAGTCTGCTGCACTTCCTCCTGTGTACCTTGCAACTCACCGTTGGAGTACGAGCACCGCTAGCCTAAATGTGGTGAGCCACACAAAGAACTCAGCAAATCGATTACCTTAATCGATGATGTAATCACCCAGAGTCAGACTATGGCTGCGTCCCAAATGGTACCCAAATGGTACCCTATTCCCCATTTAGTGTTCAAAAGTAGTGCACTATATAAGGAATAGGGTGCCATTTGGGACGAACCTGCCGGAGGCAGGACCATGGGGGAGCTGCCCGCCACTTAGCAGTAAAACTCTCCAAATATCACCTCCTTGCTTCCACTACGGAGGTCTGACTGAGCAGCGATGACAGCATAGAAAGACAAAACAGGGATAAATCAATTGTTGTGGGCACACTTGAATGGCAAAAATCAAATGTTGTGGAAAATGAAAGCTTGAAAAGAGTCGTAAAATCGAGGCCCTCCTATTTCAGTCCTCCAGCAGCCTACCAACTGAATAGTTCATAAAGTAGCCTTGTTTGTAGGGTAATAGATTTTAAACATTAAACATTTAATATCAAGTCAAATATTTCTGCTGACTCATGTTTACCTCAAGTACTGTAGCCGTAAAAGGCTACCTGTTTTCTGTCAACTTCACTCAAAGCAGCACACACACACACACACACACACGCCAGCTTTTCATTGGTCTGTTCCGATATTCACACTAGCATAACACTGAAAATGAAGCAATGGGCATCAAAATGGATATTAACCCCTCTCTCAAACTGCACAGAAATGGTGAATCATAGGAGTGAGGGATTGTTCTCTCCAGAGAGCCTGTGTATGTAGTGCTGTGAAGGTCATGTGGCCAGACCAGACAGGCAGGGAGGGACACAGCAGCAACAGCCTTCCTCTATCTCTCTAACCGCCCTCACATCACATCTCTAACTGCTCTCTCATCACTCTCTAACTGCGCCTCGTCATCTCTCTAACTGCTCTCTCATCACCTCTCTAACTCTGCTCTCTCATCACCTCTCTAACTGCTCTCTCATCACCTCTAACTGCTCTCTCATCACCTCTCTAACTGCTCTCTCATCACCTCTCTAACTGCTCTCTCATCACATCTCTAACTGCTCTCTCATACCTCTATGCTTCTCATCACTCTCTAACTGCTCTCTCATCACCTCTCTAACTGCTCTCTCATCATCTATGTCTCATCACCTCTCTAACTGCTCTCTCATCACCTCTCTAACTGCTCTCTCATCACCTCTCTAACTGCTCTCATCATCACTCTCTAACTGCTCTCTCATCACCTCTCTAACTGCTCTCTCTCATCACCTCTCTAACTGCTCTCTCATCACCTCTCTAACTGCTCTCTCATCACATCTCTAACTGCTCTCTCATCACCTCTCTAACTGCTCTCTCATCACCTCTCTAACTGCTCTCTCATCACCTCTCTAACTGCTCATCACCTCAACTCTCTCACATACTCTAACTGCTCTCTCATCAACCTCTCTAACTCTCTCTCTCATCACTCTAACCTCTCTCTCTCACCTCTACTCTAACTTCTCATCACCTCTCTGAACTCTTTCTCATCACTCTCTATCTCTCTCATCACCTCTCTAACTGCTCCTCATCATCACCTCTCTAACTCTACTCTCTCATCACCTCTCTAACTGCTCTCTATCATCACCTCTACTCTTCCATCACTCTAACTGCTCTCTCATCACCTCTAACTGCTCTCTCATCACCTTCTAACTGCTTCTCTATCACTTCTAACTGCTTCTCAACTGCTCTATCCACGTCCATCCTCTAACTGCTCTCTCATCACCTCTCTAACTGCTCTCTCATCACCTCTCTAACTGCTCTCATCACCTCTACTCCTCTCATACACTCTAACTGCTCTCTCTCATCACCTCTCTAACTGCTCTCTCATCACCTCTAATGCTCTCTCATCACCTCTAACTGCTCTCTCATCACCTCTCTAACTGCTCTCTCACTCTCATCTCTCATCACCTCTCTAACTGCTCTCTCATCACCTCTCTAACTGCTCTCTCATCACCTCTCTAACTGCTCTATCATCACCTCTCTAACTCATCTCACCCTATCTCACCTCTCTAACTGCTCTCTCATCACCTCTAACCTGCTCTCTCATCACCTCTAACCTCCATCACCTCTCTAACTGCTTCTCATCACCTCTAACCTCTCTAACTCTCCTCTCTCTCTCTCACCATCTCTAACTGCTCTCTCATCACCTCTACTACTCTCTCATCATCTCTAACTGCTCTCTACACTACTGCTCTCTCATCCTCTAATCCAATCACTCTCTAACTGCTCTCTCATCACCTCTCTAACTGCTCTCTCATCACCTCTCTAACTCCCTCTCATCACCTCTAACTGCTCTCTATCACCTCTAACTGCTCTCTCATCACCATCTAACTGTCTCACTCTCTCACCTCTCTAACTGCTCTCTCATCACCTTCTAACTCTCTCATCACCCTCTTAACTGCTCTCTCATCACCTCTAACTGCTCTCTCATCACCATCCTAACTGCTCTCTCATCATCACACCTCTCTAACTGCTCTCTCATCACCTCTCTAACTGTCTCTCATCACTCCTCTAAACCTGTCTCGTCATCAACTCTCAAGCTCTGCTCACTCCTAAGCTGCTCTCATCACACTCTCTAACTGCTTCTTCATCACTCTCTACTGCCTCCCACACTCTCACCTCTTAACTGCTCGTTCATCAAACCTCTCAACTGCTCTCTACACTTTACCCCATACCATCTCGTAACTCTGCTCACATCACATCTCTAACTGCTCTCATCCACTCTCTAATCGTGTTATCACCTGTTCGTCTCATCACCTCTAGGCTTGTCTCAATCGATCTGTAACTGCTCTTCATCACATTCTAACTGCCCTATAACTTACATTCACACTCTCTAACTGCCCATCAATATCTCTCTACCCCTAATGCTCCATTAAGCTCTACCTCATATAACCCAGGCATTAACAGCTAATGCTTTCATCATCTCTATGCTCTATAATCTTAGTTGTTCATCTCACACCCTTACTTTCACACTCCTACTGTGCTTCACCCAATGCTCCTCTCATCCAATGCTCTCATCACATTAACTATCTTATCAATCTCTATGCCTCTCATCATTTAATGTCCAATTCCATTTTCACAATTCTTATTCTAACTTCGTTTCACACTCTTCTTTTAACTCTTTTATGTTGGGTCCCTGTAGCCTGTGTTTAGCTATCAAATCCACATATGTCCAGTGCACAAACAACCTACCTCCATGGAACTCGTGGAATTAGGTGGGGGAATTGTAGGGGTAAACGGCAGTAGGAAAACACCAGGGACAATATTCACAGTAGAAGTGCTGATCTAGGAATAGTTCTGCCTTTCAGATAATAATGAATAAGACAGGAATGAATAAGACTTGATCATAGGCCAACACTTCTACTCTGAGAATCTTTGTGAATACAGGCCCAGAGGTATAAATGCCTTACTAGGCTAATTGCAGTGGTCCCCAGTTATTAGAAGTCTACCCTACACCACCAGAATTCCCAGGGAATAGAACAGGGCTAGCTAGGGCTAATGATTGGCGGGAGTGTGCCAGTGAGCAACCATCAGGTTTAGATAGAACCAGTGGAGATCACAGAGGGTTGTCAGAGAGTTCCCAGGGGGCAGGAGAGGAGTACATGGGGATAGGATCAAAAGCAGCCATGGACGCCATCATGTGATGCAGGGGAAGATCAGAGCCAGTAACAAATGATGGGTTTGTACCACAGGGGAAATTGCTCTCTTCAGATGACCAGTGGTAGACACAGTGATGTGAAGCCAGGCTAGTCATATACAGGACTACTGTTGCTTGTTCTTCTCAGTCTGACTGTATGTGTGTATTTGTATTTATTATGGATCCCCATTAGTTCCTGCCAAGGCAGCAGCTACTCTTCCTGGGGTCCAGCAACGTAAGACAGTTACATACTGTTTAAAATACTACATGACTTTCCATTTCATAAAACCTTACCCAACACATTCAGTGTGTTCCCTCAGGCCACCACTCCATATTTACAATACAACATCCACATGTGTAGAGTGCGTGTCTTATCATGTGTATGTGTGTCTGTGTGCCTCTTCACAGTCCCCACTGTTCCATAAGGTGTATTTTTATCTGTTTTTTAAATCTGATTCTACTGCTTGCATCAGTTACCTGATGTGGAATAGAGTTCCATGTTGTCATGGCTCTATGTAGTACTGTGTGCATTCCATAGTCTGTTCTTGATTGTGAAGAGACCTTTGGTGGCATGTGTTGTGGGGTATGCATGGGTGTCCAAGCCATGTGCTAGTAGTTTAAACACAGACACCTCTGTGCATTCAGCATGTCAACACTTCTTACAAACACAAGTAATGATGAAGTCAATCTCTCCTCCACTTTGAGCCATGAGAGATTTACATGCATATTATTAATGTTAGCTCTCCGTGTACATTTAAGGGCCAGCCGTGCTGCCCTGTTCTGAGCCAATTGTAATTTTCAGAGGTCCCTCTTTGTGGCACCTGACCACACGACTGAACAGTAGT